ATAGGTTACTAGTATAATCTTAATAATAATATATAGACTATATAGCTTCTTATAAAAGAAAATATAAAGCTATTAACCTAGCTATAGTATATCGATATCTATTAGTATTAGTTATACTAAGAGGTTTAAAGGGGACTTATTTCTATTTATTAGGTTCTTATAGTATTAATAAAAGCTAATAGTCTTATAAAGCTCTTACTAAAGTAAAAGCTAACTATCTTTTTATAGTAAATTAAGCTAAAAAACGTTTATAAGAAGCTATCCTTAAAGGCCTACCTTTAAAGTCTATAAGAGGAGCTAATAGTCTATATAAGAAGGTAATATCTATAGTTAAAAAAAAGAAGAGGTCTTTCTTTTAAAGGGCCCCTTATTTTAATTAGGTTTCTTCCTTTTAAGAAGGCCCTTTTTCTTATAGGACTTTCCCCTCTTTAAGCCCTTATTCCTTAAGTAGGTCTAAAAGAGCCTAGGGACCTAAAAGGGCCCTTATTTTCCGTAAGTAAAGGGATAAGTATAGAGCTAAGAACCTCTTTTATATACTTACTAGCCTAAAGCTATATTAGCTATACCTTTATTATAAGGGTAGGCTATAGCTAAGGGGGTATATCGCGAAGCATAGCTTAATTTTATAGTTCTTAGAGATATCCCTTAGTAAGAGGGACTAAGAAAGCTAAAAAACTAGTTTAAAAGAAAGAGCTAAAAGGAGGTATAGAGAGGAGGGTAAGGGTATAAAGGGAAGTAAAAGTAGCGATAGCTTCTTATAAAGGTAGTAAGAGATAAGACGGATATACTAGTAGCGGCTAGAAAGGAGGGGAAAAACTAATAAAAAGCTCGGTAGTTAAGAGGATATTAATAGCTTCTTTAAGTAGGATCTTCTTTATTAATTAAGATACTAAATAAGTATAAAGAAGGGCGTTAGATAAAGGAAAGAAGGATAATAAAAGTATTATAATAATTACTCCCTTACTATAATTACTACCCCTATAAGAATTAAATATCTCTGCCTTACTTATCTAACCCCTTACTTTTAATTTTACCTTTATATATTTTAATTATACTTCTTATATCTCTCTTTACGATAATAATATTAAAGCTAATACTATTTATAAATATAAAGGCCTATATAGAACGCTTCCTTTAATACTAAGCTTACTTATATAGCTAGATAGCCTTTATTATAAGTAATAAGAAATTAAATTAAACTAGCTGCTTTTAATAGTACTAATACTAGCTACTTTAAATTATATAGCTACTTAGTATATTATATTACTTATAAACTAATAGAGGGCTAAAGAGGGTTAACTAGGAAGTATAGGCTTACTTATAAGTTATTATAGCCTACAATTAAATAAACTAAGACTAGTAGCTCCCTATAGCTTAACGTATATTAAATAGTAAACTATATACCTTTATTAAGATAACCTTTTTCTTTATAATATATAGCTTTAAACCGCCCTTATTAGTTCCCTTTACTATAAATATAGTAATAAAGTAATAGAGTAATTTATTATTAAAAGGCCGCGCCTTTATATTTATTTAAAAGCTATAAGAGACTATAAATTATTACTAATTTATAATAGCTACTATAGTATAAAATTAAAAGTAGTATACTAATAAAACTAAGGCTTTAGTAAATAGGTTTATAATAAAAGATAAGGTATAGCTAGACCTTATAATTATAAGTTAGCGCGGCTAAAAAAAAAAGCTAGACTAACTATATATAAAGTTTATAGTATAAAGAGTTATTAGTTTATAAGTTATAGAGCTTAATAGTCTTTTTTAATAAGGGTCTATAATAAGATTAATATAAACTTCTTTTTACTAAGCTTCTTTATACCTACTACTTAAATAAGAAGTAATAAACGCTTAACTACTTATAATTAAAGTAAAAGAAAAGAATAAGTTTAAGGTTAAAGAGATATAGGCTATATACTAGAAAAAGGTTAATAAACGGAAATACTTAGAGGTCCTTTTTAAGTAGTATAAGTATCTTAACCTTATATAAGAACCTATATATAAGTTTATAAGAGCTATAGCCCTTAATAAGTTTAAGGCCTTATTTAAGCTAATAAATAAGAATAATAAACTAATAAACTACTAATAGTAGCTTAAGCTAAGACTATAAAGTAAATAAAGTAAAGTAAGTAGTTATAGTAATATAAGTAGTTATAGTAATATAAGTATAATAGTATAAGTAAAGATAAAAATAGCGTTTATTTTAAAGTAAAGCCCTTAAACTACTTAACCCTATTTTTTATTATTACTCTTATCCTTATCTTTATTATTATTATTATTATTATTATTATTATTAGCCTCCTTTTTTTATTAATAAAAGCGGCGCTTTCTAAGGCGCTTAAGCGGCCCTTTAAGTATATAAGCTAGTTAGCGGTAACGGCGGCTTTAAGGGTAGTAGAAGTAAGTAGGAGGCAGCTAGTAATAATAGTAAGGCTAGCGGAGGGTATAGATAAGGGAACCGCCGATAAAGCGATAAAAGCGGTATCCTTAGTACTAAGGGAGTTAATAGTAAAAGTAAAAGAGTAAGAGGAAAAGAGCTTATTTAAGGATAAAGCCTTAGCGCTCTAAAGTATAAAGATTATAATAGGCGGCTATAGTAATAGTAAGGCGCTACTTTATAAGTATAGTTAGTACGTGCGTATTAGAAATAGCTACTACTATAGCGGCGCTTAACTTAATTAGCGTAAGGGAGCTCCTACGATATATACTATATATAAAGGGCTACGTAGGCGGCTATAGCTTATACTTAGCGCTTATACTTTAAGAGGTTAGCGGAAAATAGCTATTATACTTATTAAGTAGTAAACTTATAAGGGTAGTAAAGCTAGAGGTAAGGGTAAAAGGGCCGGGCGTTATAAGCGGCGGCGGGGATAGCGTTATTACCTTAAAAGGTAATATAAGAGCGGCTAGTATAGTAAAGGTAAAGATAGTAGCGGTAGGTATAGTTATAGGGGTATAGGTAAGAGCGGCGGTAGTAATAGAGTTATTATTAGCTATACTTAGTATAGCGTTAATAAATAACTTTATATACTTTAAGAAAGAAAAAGAAATAGAAATAAAAGTAGATATATTTACTATAGAAGTTAATATAATAGAACGCGGCCTTTTACTTAATAAAATAAAAGACTTATTTATTAAAGTTATTATTACTACTATTACTACTATTATTACTATAGCTATTCTTATAAGTACTTATTAATAAGGTAGCTTATATAGCTAAGAATAAACTAACGCTTTATATAAAGTAAAGCTTAATTATTACTACTACTATTATAATTAAAGAAAGAGAAGAAAAAAGAAAGAAAAGATACTACTTTATATACCCCTTAGTAAAGGAAGCTACTTAAGGCTAAGGGGATAAGTAACCTAAGGCTTATATAGGTCTAGGCTAGCCGCTAGCCGCTTAAGGGCGTATATAATAAGTTATACTTATATTTAAGTAGCTAGCTAGCTAATAAGTATAAAGCTAGGTTCTAGCTACTTAGGTTAATAAGTATAAGAATAATAAGGCTAGTAGGGCTAGTATAATTAATAGGAAAGGGTAAAGTAGAGCTAGTATAAGGAGCTTAATACTTAATTATATAAAAGCTATTAATAAGGTAGCACTATACTACGCTAAAGGGAGGGTATTATATAAGAGTCTTTAACTATTATAAGTTATAGGCTTAAGCTATAGCCTAAGCTATATAGTTATATATAAAGGGCTAGATCCTATATATATATATATATAGGCTAGCTATATATAAAAGAGCTTTATATAGCTTATTAATATTATCTTATAGATAGTACTTATATATATACCTTTACTTACTTTATAATAACTAGCTAGACTAAATAAACTAATAAGGCTAGGCCTAGAGTTATAAGTATAGCTAGCGTAATATAATAGCTATAGTTAAAGATAGCGTTAAAGCTCTTAAGGGAGGAGGAGCTAAAAGAGTAGTAGTAGTAGCGGGGGCTATAGTAGTAGGGGCTATAATAGCTATAAGGGTAGTAGGTTAGACCGTCTAAGCTAAGTACTAGCCTTAAAGGAATAAGACTACTTATTATTATACCTTAGTAGCTTTTTTATTTAGTTCCTAGTAAGCTTCTTAAAAGATAGCTAAGTAACTATTACTAATAGGCTTTATTAATATATATATATCCTATTTTATTTTATATTATTACTCGTATATAGCCTCTAGGGCTATAGTAAGGCTAATAGGGGCCTAGGCCCCTATTAGTAGTCCTAGCTAGCTATAGAGCCCGGGGGCTTATAACTAATTAGGGAAAGGGTAGCTATAAAGGCAAAGATAAAGGAAAGGTTAGTCTAGTTCCTCCTACGCGGTGATTTTCCCCCCTAAGGGCCCTAGGGCCCCTAGGTTACTCCTTTTCGAGCTACTTAGCTATCCCTATCTCTGTTTTAGCTAAGAAGGTTAGAAGGGCTTCCCTTCCTTCCTTAGAGCTATAAAGAATAGGTAGGCTAAGGGCCCCCTCCTATCTCTTAGAGGTCCGGTAAAGGACCTCTCTTTCCCTCCTATAGTTCGGGCACCTTAGGATAAGGTGCCTAGCCGTATGCCTTCCTTAGCCGTAGCGGTAGTCGTCTCGCTCTACCTTATTAGTCCTTTTTAAGAAGGAAAATAGGAAGCCGGCCCCGAAGAGGAGCTAGTAGAAGGCCGAGAGGGTTAGCCTAGGCCTCCCTATAAGGTCCTTTTCCGGGCTAAGGGCTAGGCGGGGGGTCTTTCGAATAGACGTGTAGTGTTTGCCTAGGCCCTTAGCCCTAGGGCCTTTAGCCGCCTCGGGAGAGAGATATATCCTATAGCTACTATCTAAAAAGAGCTTTTATTAAGAAGTATTAGTTAGCTTCCTTAAGGATTTCTTCTTACTTAGCTAGCTATAAAGAAGCTAAAAGGTTACTAGTAGAAAAGGCTCCTAGGTAGGCTATATAAGTCTTCTTAATATAGTTAGTTATTCTGGTCGGAAACAGTTGGTTTGCTATCATTCAGGTTATGGAAGGTTCGTTTGCCCTCTAGCATAGCAACTTGAAAAATCTCCCTACCATCGCAAAGTTGCACCCCACCATCATCGACAGCCTCAATTTGCTGGCCGTATGATATAGGAACACTATATCTTTGCCTTCCATCCTGGTAGCAGATATACGGGCCCCTGTTGTCGAATGTCTGCGCGTAGTTAAGCACACAACGAATAAAGCAGCTCGCTAGGCGCACAGTGAAGTCTTCAAGCAGGGGCGTCCCGCTTTGATATATAACCCCGATACTTGATACAGATGTGTCGGCTGAGCTTGGCCTATTCGGCGAGCTGCTGCCGATCCGTACGCCGGCTGATGGAACAAACCCCTTCTGTGGAGAGACAGCTTTTCTTTTACGTTGCGACCGCTCAGGCATATCGTCCCGCGATTTAGCAGCCGCCCGCGAGAAGGCGGCCAGAGCGGCCCAGGTGTAGCCAAGACTATCCGGCTGGAAACGCTGGACAAATTGCGGCTCCCACAGATTGGCCAGAGTGGAAGCTTGTCCAGGACCCGATATAAGGCGCTGAATAACTGGGTGCAAGCCGTCCAAGTTGTCCTGGTTGAACCCCCCTTCCACAAAGAGGGCAAGGCGATTTTCGGGCTTACTACAGATGACTCGGCTGGCAAATAAATGTTCGCGGCCCCAGCGACTGACGGCGCTCTCCCACTCTGTTTATCGGTAAAGAGAATCGAAAATTTGAGTTTTCTCAGCTGATGCTGCCTTGAAGAAGGTGCCGGGGCTCGTGATGGTGTCGTAGTAAGCCATGATCGGAAATATTGAATGCTGGGAACTGAAGTATCGATGAGCTAGTACGATTCAAGACGATGGTTGAGATGTGATTTTAGAGAGTGAGATGATTATGAGAATTTGCTGGTCCTTAGACATGGTATTTATACCCCGTCCCCCTGCCCGTAATTAATAACTATCTGCGAGAACGGGGAGAGTCAGACGCAGCCAAGACCTGCAATCCTGCTTGCGTGCAGGCTGTTCATGATTAGAGTCATCCTCTTCCCCTGCAGACGTTAGACCACCTCTGCAGCCTGCATGTCACCCCTGGGGGGAACAGGCGCTGCGACCTGCGCAAGCTCATCTTTAATCCCTGGGTGCAGGTCGGCTGCGTGGACGCGCAGGCAAACTTGCACGACAAAGCCATAACAGCTCACATATGTCAGGCCGCAGTCATCCAGGAGTTCAGGCATCGACCTTGACGGAAATCCTTGAACCGATGTCATCGGCCTTTGAGTTGGTGCTCCTATACAAAAAGCTGGGTTGGACTAGCAATTGACCTGGCCAAGTCCGGAAGACTAAGAGGATCTCAAGCAAATCAAACCCCAAAAACGTACGGCTTTCACGAAGAAGACACCCTCCTACAAGATCCTATTCTGTACGTCGAGAGCCTTGCCTTGCTGATGGAGCCTTCGACAGCGACATCAAGGATCCTGAGCAGATCTATACCCTTTGCGTGCCGCCAGGCCAGTCCACCATGTTTGTTCCCTGGAAAAGGCGCTGGAGGGAGCGACCGATCTTTCGAGACATCCAAGGGCGAGGCAAGAACGTTACCATAGCCGTCGACAGGGCTTTCAGTACGGAAAGGCACAGAAGCTCCTGGTTCGTCTCGGCCGCGCTCTGGGCTACGAGAAGCTTCTAGAGTGGTACGATCTGCGCTGGGGATCGGGAATGAGGCTCAACAAGGCACTTACCGCCGAGGACCGTAACCAGAGCACGGGACAAACCCTCAGAGACTCGTCGACCTTCTTCAAGCTTTACGTGGTCGACCGACTATATCGAAGCCGGCTTCCAGAGATCGTGTTCGACAGTAAGCCCCAGCACGATATTACACATCTCATGGGCAGGCTTTTTCGCCTTGCGGGCGCTCCCACGCACCTTGCCGACCAACAGATGACCTAGGTCTACAAGCAGCCAAGGCTTTCCAGGCTCAGGTGTAAGAAACCCCAGATAGTCCGCAAGATCAATGAGATAGGGTATACGCTGAAGACGGCACCCAAGACAGGACGAGGCGGAGGGCTGCTCCAAGAATACATCAAATGGGGGCAGATGGCAGATGGCGCGAGGAAAACGCTGCATGACGATCGCCTGACGCGTGCCATCAGCGATTTTCGCATTCTGAGGGACGGCGAAGAAATAGCCAGGCAGTCAAAGTAGAGTATCAGCTTCCAGAACGGGCACGAATCGCCAAGCTCCTCTTACAACTTGTCGAGGTCACCAGCAGCGATAAGCTATTCTGCATTTGCATGGAGCTTGTAAGGGCGCTGGCGGCTCTCTGCAAACTACAAGAACCTCCTCGACCGCGGCAACGCAAACAACCGGCGGAGAAGCCAAAGAAGCAGCCGCGCAAGGCTCCTTCTTCTGCACCAACAAAGTGCGTCCGGCCAGTCATTGTCAGCGCGCTCGAAAACAGCCATGTCCCCTGCGCAGACCACAGAGCCTACATCCCTTGAGTCCACCTTTGCCGTGTTGACACCGGGACAAGAGACCACAGGGGACAACCCCCTTCCTCACCCTCCAAGAGGCACGCTGTTGGCTGGCGTGTCTTATCTGCACGTGGAAAGTGCTGGGAAGCCGCCTGCGCGGTTCTCGTACGAGAGTTGGATGATGGTGCTCTGAAGTATGTGCTATTGACCGCCAAGAAGGACTCCGGCCTCAAGCAAGTTTGAGGGGATTCACCTTGCTGGAAGCTCCGCATAAATTCGAAAGGCAGGCATATCGACATTAAACTTACATCTGACATAGCACGTCTATCCCCAACAGAATCTCAATCCATACCCCGAGCCGGGTCCATTGTCCATGTCGCTTGCACCTTTAGCTGCCGCCGCCCCTCATCCAGCAGGACACTTTGCCGTTCCTCCGTTGTTCTCCCTGGCTCGTGTGCTTCCTGTTGTTTCTGCCGGCGCCTCATCTCCCATCTGACGCCCTCTCCTCTCAGTTTGCCTCGACGGGCTCTGCCGGCGCCGAGACGTGGACGGGGGGAATTATGCTTGTGCTAGACATATATGCCTTGAACAGCTGGTATTATATATATATATAAGATTTAGTTAATTGCACCAGAGATATAAACATGTATATATTTATATTCTAATATAAACTTTGCCCACAGTCGCCTGTTTAGAAGATAAAGATGACCGCAATCATGCTAATGAATCAAACCTAAGAATATGCAAGTCGATGTTTTGCCTAGGGCATCCCTGCATCCCGTCCCCGGCTCATAACTCCCCAACCTCGTTTCTCTTACCGCAGGCCACCCAACATTTCATCTTTGCCTCCTCGTATATTGCACTTGCTCGACACCCCTATGCGTGAAGAACACTTGCTCTTGTGCTTGATCAAACCTTCAGCATACTAGGTTTTAGATCAGCCTGATCAACATGGCTACTGTATCAAATCATCAAATCAACAGGTTCTTTAAATAGTTCAGTCTAATCGCTAAAAAGGCCTACCATGATAAAGCTGCTATTATTAATGGCGGCAGGGCCGTTAAGCCTACGTCCACGCAAGGCTCAAGAGCTATACAGTTGGGGTTGGCGATAGCACAAAGGGGTTCGTCGTATAATTTCGGGATGCCAACTACCCTCTCGACCTCGACTTCTAGCCGCCGCGAGGGAGACCTACGGACATATGGTACCGGACTCCCATCTCAATGGGTGGTTAGATCCTCTACACGTATACACTATGGACGATATATCCGGGGAGGCGCATCTTCTCGCTGGCACCTCTTTTCACAGTCCCGAGAATCTCCGTCTTCTAAACCAGACTGTACAAGACTTTGCCCTGTAAGTCTACCTAAAGGTCTGGCAAAGAAAGTTCTATACTAATTGACAACGATATAGATTCTCTGCTTCCGCGTGGCGTGATCGGCCGACTACAGTGTCCTCTTTCAGCGACGCCTCGTTCCAGAGCAGCTATTTGTCCCGCCTTGAACGCATCCTAAACAGACTTCCCGTTAGCTTTCCGCCTTTACCGGGCAAGCTCAAAAGCCAACTACCGTCCCTCTGCACAGATGACTATTCCATTGTAATCAACCACTGGGGCCTCCTTGAAAATAACATCCACGTGGCACCTCACCACCGTCCACAAATCTTAGCCCAGCTGTGACAAGCTGGTCCAAATGTATAAGCAATAATTAGATACTCTTGCTATTAATTCGACTCACCAATCGCCGTCGGCGAACGCACACAAAGATCTATACTTCTGATCACAGGCCGACGCTTTGAAGAAGATCGAGACCGTTGCTTCGCTGGCAGTACAGCATCAATGCATCATGAGACGGACGGCGGTGGTAGTGACGGCTTTGAGAAGGGAGGGCGAGAAGACTGCAGACCGCTTGGCTGGTGGATAAGGTGCGGAAAGATAAAACGGCAAGGGGGCGTGTTCACTCAAGGTCTTGACCATTGCATCAGTTTCCATTGGCTTCAAGAAGAGTGGGGAGCCTTTGGCCGGATCGCTCGACTCGGCTCAGGCGCCGTCAGGGTTCTACAGTATGTGACTTGGATCGGCGGAGGTCCCCTCCGTATGCTGGGAGCCCGTTTTGCAGGAAGAGTGTGAACGTGTGAGCGCGCGCGCAAAATGAAGAGCTGTGAGAGCTGTCTTTGGAGCTGCTGCTTTTGAGAGCCCGTGGGCGGGTTCGTGGACTCGGGTTTTTTGGAAGCGGGCACGGGCTGCCTTTAATATCCCTTGACCGTCCCTTCGTCCTGGCAGCAGGAGTGAGTAGATGGGAAAATAGGGGCCAGGCATGGTGGGGGCGAGGCGCCATCGTCTCGCTCTGCCAATCCTTTGTCATGAGGCTCTGGCCAGGGACGACGATGACCCGTTCGAGTGAGCCGCCGGTGCGTTTCACGACCATCGTGAAGTCAAACCCGTCGCTCTCCTCTTTCTCGTTTACTTCTTCTCACTGATTGACCGCACAAGCGCTCATCTTTCATGGTTCCAGCTCCGCTGTCAACCAATGTCACCGCCAGCCCAATTCATTGTCATTGTCGCCCAGAGATCGTGGAAGATTGGCAAGGGAGCGGCCGCTTCCTCACCGGACCCCGATGACATCGTCGTCGCTGGCAGCGGCGGATGTCCAAGCTCAGCCTCCCAGAGTGGTAGGTAGGGCTCCAAGAACGCGTCGAACATGGGACAGCCGTTTGCCTTGTCTGGCGGCGCCGCCTGCTTCTCCTCCAAAGCCCGCAGCCGGCGGTGGTACTTATCTTTGACGACTCTCAAGATGATGCGGCTGGCGGAGAGAATGTCGAGGTTTCTCGAGGCCGGCGTCGAGTCTGTTTCACCAATTATGCGGCTCAGGAATTGATCGAACTGCAACTGCGAGCGAGCCCACGAAGCATCGAAATCCGGACATTCCGACATGGGGAATGACAATCGCAGAGACAGAATCACGGTTAGAATGAGCCGCACCCAATCGTCGACGGTGAAGCATAGAAATGCCGCTTCATCCAGCGCCGCGAGGTGGTCGAGGAGCATCCTCAGCTTGACGACGCACTCGTACATTTTGGTCGGCAGCAGCGGAAGAAGCCCATCTTCACCATGACGACGGCGCGTCGCGCGAGGAAGCCTCAGCAATGAGCCGCAGTCGAGGTAGACATCGATGAAATGGCATTGCAGAGAAAAGGACACTGCAGAAGGTGAGTCTCGGTAGGACGCAATTTGGTGACATAACAGAGAGCACGTACCGTTGGACACAACGGCGGGCGATGCCCTGGCCCGGGCCTCTGCGAGCTTTGTCGCAAGGCCCGAGAGGATGAGCCAGCGATGGTGATCCTGTTGGCCGCTGAACTCGTGCGTGACCTGGAACGCCTCATGGAGCGCACACGAGTTTCGGCACAAGGCGGCGAGCACGGCATCGCCTTCGACGCGGGCCTTGCTTTCAAGGACGTCACAATACGTGGTTGTCCAGGAATTGTAGAGGCTGGGGATCTTGGGATTGGTCTTCCACGAAACAACTTGTCTGGGGCAAGTCAGCCAATGCTCCTCATTCATCAAGACTTGGCATGCGTCTTTACGTGGAGCTGATGTGGACGTAGGTTAGATAGGCGCGGATGCCATCGAGCTGCCCGTCAGTCAGGTCCATGACGGAGGCGTCTACGCCTGCGGGTAATTCTGGAGCCAGGTCGAGGTCGTGGATAATGTCCGTGGCCATACGTAAATACTGGAAAGCTTGCTTCTCCTTTGGGCGGAGATGAAACGGGTACCTGATGGGGCGTCAGTCGACCTCGGCTATTATGCATCGCCTCATGTCAAGGTCGTACCATGAACTGTAGATGAGGATCCCCTGGAGCAGCTCCAGGGACCTCTCGCCGCCGGCGACAAACTTGTAGCCCAGCACCCTGCGGAATTCGTCATCGTACAAGCCGTGGCCCTGGAGCGTCTTGGAGCCGGACGAGGCGGCGAGGATGGCAAGCAGCACAAAGGGCCGCGTGGCAGCCAAGTGAGGGACGGATGCATCGGCGGCCAGGACGGTGCAGGGGAGATGCTCGAGCTTGTTGCGGCGGAACGAGTGGAGCAATGACTCGGCCGAGGCCATGTTGAACAGGGGCTTGGCATGGCCGTCGTGGATGGAGTGCAGATGGGGCTGCGCCGACGAAGTGGACGGGGCCTGGACATCTGCCGCCCCCGGCGAGACCCATTGCTGCGCATCAGAGCCGTCGCCGTCATCACCGTCGTCCGGGAAGAGGCGCTCGAGGGATTGCACGTGTGAGTCCCGCAAGACGTCTACGCTGTTGTCAAGCTCCGACTTAGCGGGGATGGTGAAGTCGATGGTAAAGGTACCGGACGGGCCAGACGGCGACGATGACAAGCAAGGCAGCCGACCGTCCTGCGATCTGAGAGGGCATCAGAGAGGGACAGACCATCAGATCATCTGGCCGGCGGGACTCACTGCTTGGCCTTTCTCGATCGTCGAGGCCGCGGGCACATGCGCGAGATGCACTCCCTCTTGAACGCAAGGCACCTGCATCACACAAACAAAGGCCGTCAGCGTTCGGGGCTTGTTTCGCAGGGTGGCAAAGGGATTACTTTTGGCAGACGTCAGGGAATTCACTGGGTCGACATCGAACCTTTGTCGCCCGGCAGGCCTCGCATGCCGTTGAGATTCTCTTCCGGGCGGCGTCGGCGATGCCTGCATCGGGCGCCATGCTTGACGACGAGGTTTGCCGGGCACAGGTTGATGGCGGTCGAAGCTGGCGAGTGCGACGTGGTGAGGCCGGATGTGCGGAGCATAATCCGCCCGAAGATGCTTTCTATTTCCGGCGATGACCGGAACTGAGCGCTCGCAACCAAAACCTTGGCACTTCAACTCCATTGCGCCGCATGCCACTATTAATACCCATCAGAGTCGCCACGGCCTCGTCGACGCTAGGTCTTAGTCCCTTGTCTCACGAATTCTTCATCGCCTCTTCCGTAGACCCCGGGACTCTCGTAGACTTTAAAGCCCTGGTCCAGCACTGCCATAACTTGTGTCCGCGCATAGTCAACGTCGACCACGCACTTTCATTCCTGTTGTACAGAGCTCTGTTACACGGCATGGCTTCGTTCCACACCACGCTTACACTTTCTCCCTCCCTATTCAACCCGGGTCATGGCTATCCCCGGATTCTCCCTCGCCAGCGTCGCCTCAACCACTTGTTGCATCGACGTCACGGCTTCATCGGACTCTTCGGTCGATGTCTTGACCCCGTGTGAGTTCTTCCTGTGCTCAGCAACGTTTTCCCTCGCGCATCGGCTGGAGCAGAACAGCGTTATCCGCCTCTGGTCCAGACACTCCTTGCACGACACCGTCTGGGACGTCCCATCTTCCATCTCCACGTCCTCGTCGCGCAGCTGGGTGCATTCGTCGCCCGCTGCGCAGTCGTGCGCTGCTGCGACGTGTTCTTCCTGCAAGCAAGTTAGCTTTCTCATCTCCTGTGGCACGGGCAGACAGGCGGGAGTGCACATACATGACCCTTGAGAAGGCACTCTTCCGTGCAATAGACCGTCAGCTTGTCGCTGCCCCCCATCTGCGTGACGACTTGGCATAAACAGCACGAGAGGACGGCGCTAGGGTCCACGGTCCTTTGGCAAACATGACAAGGAGGCAGGTTGCCAAGTTTCTCGCTCGCAGTAGACGCTTGGTTTCCAGATGCTCGGCTCTTAGCCTGCGCCTTGTCATGCTCAAACGCCGTCTTTGCTCTTCGCAGCTCGTCGAGCCGTCTTTGGTGGTAGTCTCTTTGTGGCTGCGAGTTCCTGCTTTCTTTCATGTCCGCAGCAATCCGGTCGATAATGTCTTCGAGCGTCACGCTCTCGCTGGCCTTGTATTCCTCCAGGTACTTGTTGGCATTCTGAAGGACTTGGTCCGAAGTGCGGTTCATAAAAAACTGGGCCGTGTACAGCTTCTTCAACTCGGCCGCATCACCCTTGATGGCAGCTGCCTTGTCCGCAAGGGCATCCACGCTGGACGGCCAGTCTGCCGGAGTTCCTATCCCCTCCAGCATCATGGTCACCAGCTCTTGCCGCGATCGATCCGGGTCGTCAAGCATACCCCTCAACTCGTCCTGGTTGGCGCCATGATCTGACACGGCGATGAACTCGGGGTATTTTCGCAAGACCCAACGGTACCAAGCTTCCTTTTCTGACTCTATCCTTGACTCGATGAAGTCCAGGCTCCGCTTGTCATCTTTTGCATCGTGAAACAGTCCCTCGAGCTCATGCAGAAAGGCCTTTCGCTGCGTGAACCACTCGCGGTCTTGGCTCTCGGTATACCGCAGTCGCATCCGGTCCAAAGATTTCCCGTAGCAGCTGTGACATTCCGTCACCGGCTTCTTGCCGCATGCTTGGTCGCATGAGCTCCTCAGCGCTCTGATTTCTTCGGAGCACAGCTGTCTCTGTTTCCTTGCCGCACTAAGCTCGGTCCAGTGCTCCGGCATGGTGTGCTTGGACGGCGACGCCATGCTTCCATTCCTGCCTAGAGTCGAGACGTGATTTTCAATGTGTCTAGTGGGAGTTTTTGGGTCTGACGTGTTTGTAAAGACGCGTTTGGAGAGGCTGGTCTGGAATCAGATGCCCTTTGCCAGCCGAGCGAGGTTGGGCGCGAATAAGCCAGAGGACAGTCGGAAACTTGAGGGCGGAGGCAGGAAAAGTGAAAGGGGGTATCTCAATAAGTTTTCTCTTTAAATACGCCTGGAAGGATGACCGTGAACAATGTGCCATCAAGAACGTGAAGATGAGCGCGCAAATGAACTGACTTGCCTTCGATGGGAGTCACCGCACGGTACAAAGTACTCGACATTCAGCCGATATTCAGCCGGTCACCATCACCAGCCGACGATAGTTCACCGAGAACTCGTGCCGTTACAACCCAGCGATATCAAAGCACAAGACGGTTCAGCGTTACCAACACACGCGCGGCGATTCATGCCGACTGAAACTGCGACCGGTGGAAGCCCAACCTTTCAGTTCCCTTGGCTGCCATCATCGCCGTCTGTGGCCATTCGTCACAATGGTAAGGCCTCCCCAGATTCACCGGTCCCCAGTGTGCGCTCGGCCACTTAACCAGCTCTCTCCCTTCAGGCCGACAAACTCCGAACCCAGCAGGAACTCGAACGCCTGCAGGCCAAGTACGTTGGCACTGGCCACCCCGACACGACGACCTGGGAGTGGAAGACGAATATCCAGCGCGACACATACTCCTCCATTGTTGGCCATAGGCCTCTACTTGCATACATTGCGCTCGCGGAGAACGAGCCCATCTCCAAAGTCCGGGCAAATTTGATTCGAGTTCGTCCCTCAAGCCGTCGCCGGCGCGCACGTTTAGCTAACCACGTCGGCGCAGAAAATGATTCAACCTTGCGGCCCTCCCCCGCCTCGCGAAGAAGAGTAGACCTTGCCTCGGCAGCGGCAGCAGGGCGATGAGATATTGTGGACATTACGGGTTTGCTCTGGAAACTGCGTCAATGGAAAGATACCACTGGACCATCGGGGTCTTGAATAAACACTTTCGCGATTTTCCCCGGATCGAGAAGCATTGCTGCGGCCGTTTAGTCTCGATCAAACCGAGAGCATCATCCGCGATTCGTCGTACACGAATTCAAGGCGTTGGGGCCGTTACTCGTCTTCTGAACCGTCGGCGGCTTGTCTCCCGCCCCCGCCGGCTTCCACCGCGTCCTCGTTGGCCGCCGTGGGCTGGGCCTTGAGCCCCAGGCTTGACCGTAGTTTCTTCTCCAGGTCAGGGCTCCAATCACCAAAAACCTCGCGCACCATGCCCATGACGCCATCGAGTCCAATCTCCTCTTTTGCGCGTGGCCCAATGTGCCAGGTGACGTTCTGGTCACCGTCCTGGCCGATGGGTGGCCGCTCCACCTTTTTTATCACGTATCCGTGCTTCTCCATCCTTTTCAGCGTCATGTCGGTCTTTTCGTTGGACACGTTTTGATCAGCATTCAGCCGCATGAGGTAGCGCCTGAGCTTCTGCTCGCTCAGCTCGCCCGAGTTCAACCAGATCAAGGCGACAACCAGGGTGTAAAAGGCGGCGTATGTAGCCTCGTCCTCCTCGTTTGGTATCCTGGATGGCTTGAGAATGGTCGCGCTGCGATATGGCTCTGGTAAGTTCGAGGTCAAGAGGTAGGCCCCGGATCCGGTCTTAATTTGAGAACTTGACTTCATGGCTATCCTTGCATTAGCTTAGGACAAGCGCGTTTGGGACGGCCAACCTACCCTGTCGCTTCTCTTGGAGAGACATCTTCTCTCGAACGGGAAGCTCCCGCAACTCCATGCCCCATATCTCGCGAAGCTGTTTTTGCGCGAGCACAAAGACCCTCTTGAATGACCGTCCCTGGTTGCCAAGGACTAGACTGTGTGTCAGCGATGACAACCTCCAGCGGCAGCAGCCGGGCATTACCTCTCTCCTTGATTCCGTCGCGTCTTATTGGAGTCCGCGAGTATTCGCACGAGATGGCATATCGGACCAGCTTCTTTGCAAGCTGTCTGTCGGCGTCTTGGTTCGGGTTACCGTCCATGCCATCGCCAGATTCGTCGCCAGCCTCGTCACCCGAGCCGTTGCGGTTGGGGCGTTGTCGCGGGCGCGCATCTTGGTCTGATTCGTCGTCGTCGATCTGTCGACATGTTAGTTGAGCCAGCACGAGCTATCAAGGACGACGATGGTACCGGACGTCTTCTCCTCTGCGAAGGAGGCATCGTTGGTGCAGGCTTTCAATTCCAACGCAATTAAGCCGCAGCAATTGGGTTGTCTGAAGCGTGAAGCGATAACGTAAGGGGGGGCGAGGGGCAGACAGCGCGGTCGCACTTTCAGACGCGTCTGACTTTCCTTATCGCCTTAGCGCCTAAGTCGCCGCCGGCTTATCGTCGCAAATTTCTTGCATCCGTTTGCTTGTACTTAGACCATCCGTTCCTGCAGCGCATCGGCTCGCGGGCAGCTTCTTCCATGCTTTCACAGGCTTCAGTTCTGCCGCGAGTTTGCCTGTCATGTCGACTGGGCCTCGCACTGCGCCGAGCGACGCGCCGGCCCCGTGCGACGCCCCCCTTCCCACCCCAGTCGCTACGACGATATTCCTCCGACTATGCCTTCGATTCGGCCGAAGCCTACGAGGCCAAGTTGACGGAACTGGTAAATAAGGAATATTACCATGACTTCCTCATCAAGAAGAACCTGGAACTCGAGTCATTGGGCAAGCCGGTCACCGCCCTGATCATCAAAAATCCAAACGAGATGCGCTCCCGCCCCACGCCCCTACCCGTGCTCGACGAGGAAGCGCCGTCCACAGGCACGCCTCTGCGAGTCGACGACGTTCTCCCCCAGGAAGAGGAGTCAGACTCGAAAACCCTGGAAGAAGCGATCAGGAATATCGACGAGCTGCGTCCCAGCGACACAGACGTTCTTAGACTACGCGAGCTGGAGAACCTGGTGGGCGCGCTCTACGAAGGATTCACCTGGGAGCAGTTGAACAGTTATTGTGTGGCCAGGAATCCAAAGCCCAGGTCTTGGGCAAAGGAAGCGAGCCCGTATCCCTGGATCGTCGAGCAGCAACCATGGGAGGCTGTTCGGATGGTGCAGCTGGAAAAACTGACTCCAAAGCGACAGATCGCGGCCAAGATCATCACGAAACTGTGGAATATTGGCGTTCGGGAACAGGTCAGGGGTCCAGGAAGAACGCTGGTCTGGTTTCGGCCATCCATATTCGAGCTCCTCTTTCGTACGTATCGGCTCGATTCCGCTTCGACCTGCAGCTCTAATGTCGCCGTGCAGGTCCCTCAAGCCAACTTCTGCAGACTTTGACCACCGAATGCCTGGGCGGATCAAAGCAGTGGAAAATAACACCGAGCCCCAGAGACTCTCGGTTGGAGATTTACAGCCCTAAAGCGACAGCGCGCACCATCTTGGCACGGATCGACGAAATGGTTCAATCCATGATGACGCGACATGTTCCAGTCAAGCCCTTGGGAAAGGTCGACATGTCGAGAGCGGTATTGAATGAGCTCGAGCGAATTACCAACACGTTGATTCGATACAAAGCCAATGACTCCGTATGCGCTCCTGCTTACTCGGCCAGCCTTCTCACGATCCGTCGTCTAACACTCTGTAGGAACTCTCGATATCATGGGTTGCAGACAACGCCATGCGCCAGCCGAATGAACCACGAGAGCAGAAGGCTTCGACTGGTCAGCGGACCCAAGATCCCGCAGACGTCGTTTTGCTGTTACTTCTGGCACAACAGGTGAATCCGCACCCCAGTGAAGTCGACGTCATATCTTCGTTCGAACGGGAACAACCCGTTGGCGGGAACACGACGTTTGTGAGCCATCATCGCGGAAACAGGGCTATGCTCTGGAACGACAAGATGCGGCAGTGGTCGAGGCGTGTCAACCCCACCTGCCGGAGGGATTCTGCCACGCCTCTAACGCAAACTTCCATCGTCGATAAAATGTCGCTGCCAAACCCTGTTATCAAGACCAAGGAGGGCCTGTCTATGAACCGCATCACGGCCACCTTTGGCCATGTCCTCCATTCCAGGCCTGCGCCTCCGTCCAACCCCGACGGGAGGCGCCGCGTCTTGTCCCCTGTTGTTCCGCATCCAGCATCATTCACCTCGGTCGGCGTCGGGAGCGACAAGCCCGTCGTCCAATCCACTGCAATCATCCTCCACTTCTCCCCGGAAAACGCTCAACGTAGCCACAAAGGCAAGCGCGCACCCGCCCTTCGGCTCAAACTCCCAATCGATCCGGACAGCGACCTCTCAAAATTTACCTTTCCGCCCGATTCCACCCTAGAGGGCGTCCTCGCCCCTTGGCACATGTCAGACGTTCTGCTGCCAGACGAGCGCGTCGACGTTCGCCTTTTTCAACAGCGGGTGCTCTCCCTTGACGCAAGCCAGCCCTCGCTCAAGGAGTTCTTGGCCACATCCGAGTTCAATCTTCTAGCAGGGCGGCTCAGGACGCCGAGTCATATACATCTCTCCATTCCGAACAATTGGCTTCCCGCCCGATCAAAACCCGCAAATCCTGTCAAACCAGCAAAGTCGTCCAAACCAGACAAGCCTAGGAAAGCTGTCAGGGGCACCAAGAGGGGAGGATTTGACGAGCCGGCAGAGCCATTGGCGCAACGAGGCACTGATACCCCATACCTGTTCGTCGGCCTGGAGATCCACCAAATGGTCGACCTGGAGCTCGACGGCTACACCCTCCGGTACAATAGCATCGAGGCCGGCCATCAAGGCGGCCAGCGGCAAGAAATTTCCCTTGTCGCCGATTCCGACCTCCGCAGCGGGAAGCCCGACACGGCGGAGACGGCCAACAAGTTTCTGCAGGCGGTCGAGGACGTTGCGTTTGGGAAGCTCTTTTCCTGGCACAAGGGCAACAAAATGGTGCAGGACCAGCGGTGCGTGGAAGATGAGCTCGATTGGGAGACGGTCGAGGGGGTTCCCGACGCCCACATGGCGATAATGCAGCAGATGGGTGCAGGGGAAGCTGAGCTGCCGGTGGTGGAGGAGGCTTATCCGCTTCAGAAGCCGGCTGACGCGGGAGCAACTCGGGGTGCTGCGGAGGAGGAGCAATCCCCGTCCCAAAGGCCTGCGGGCGCAGTGGAGGCTCTTGAGCCTGCATCAGAGAAGGCGACTCCGTCTTCGAAGAAACCTACCGCAGCAAGGGGAGTCGAAGATCCAGACTGGGTAACACAACTCCGCTCCATGGTGCGCCGGGACTGAAATCGTTTGCCGGCACACGCCCCATCTGGCCAGGAGCGTCCCATCCCAGGAGCACCGGCGGCTACTCTCTTCCCTATGGCGTTGGGAGGAGCTGAGCGCATACGAGATATCATTGTGTCGAATCGGGTCGCAGGCTGAAAAGGAGTGCCTCGGGGTTGCAGTACGAGGCGAATATACGAGCTCGTGAGGGACTTCACGCGGTAGAAAATATCATGACACATGGGAACGATCAAAATCATCGAGCGTCGACTTGTGTCGGGAGAACGTTGCCCATTTATCAGCCGTTTCAGGCTCTATCCTCCTTCATGTATGGCTTACTGTATTATACTGTAGCGTTCATTGAATAGACACCCGACTGAACGGGGAGACGAGCTTCCTCGACCGTCCAGACGTTTTCTATCGTGTCCCCGCATTCGTGTTTTGATGACACGGGAGGCAGTAAGCCTTCACCTCACCATGTCGTCACCAAGCCATCGGGTGGAAACACAGGTGGCACGAATCACTTCTAGACTCTCTAAGTTTTTTCTGTAAAGCACATCATGAGAAGTCCCGTCGCAGAAAACCCAAATACCCCAGCCTCTCATTATGTGCCCCGAGACAAAAGCCCAGTGTTCATCCCTTGCATAGGATATCGTTGCATCGTAGAAGTGAGAACATGACAACCCCAGCCAGACTCGGACCCCGATTCACCCCTTGCACATAGCGGCGAGAGCTTATTTCTTGCCAGCCTTGGCGGCAGACTTGGTGACCTTGCCGGAGCCAGCAGCGGCCTTCTCGACAGACTTGATGACACCGACGGCGACGGTCTGGCGCATGTCGCGGACGGCGAAGCGGCCCAGGGGAGGGTAGTCGGTGAAGGCCTCAACGCACATGGGCTTGGAGGGAACCATCTTGACGATGGCTGCATCACCAGACTTGATGAACTTGGGGGAGGTCTCGACAGCCTTGCCGGTACGGCGGTCGATCTTCTCCAGGAGCTCGGAGAACTTGCAGGCAATGTGGGCGGTGTGGCAGTCAAGGACGGGAGCGTAACCAGCGCCGACCTGACCGGGGTGGTTGAGGACGATGACCTGAGCGTTGAAGGAGGCAGCGCCCAGAGGGGGGTCGTTCTTGGAGTCGCCAGCGACGTTGCCACGGCGAATCTCCTTGACGGAGACGTTCTTCACGTTGAAGCCAACGTTGTCGCCGGGAAGACCCTCGACAAGCTGCTCGTGGTGCATCTCAACGGACTTGACTTCAGTGGTGACGTTGGCAGGAGCAAAGGTGACGACCATGCCGGGCTTGATGACGCCAGTCTCGACACGGCCGACGGGGACTGTTCCGATACCGCCAATCTTGTACACATCCTGGAGGGGCAGGCGCAGGGGCTTGTCGGAGGGACGCTTGGGAGGCTCGATGGAGTCGATGGCCTCGAGCAGAGTCTTGCCGGTGACCTTGCCGGACTTGATCTCCTTCTCCCAGCCCTTGTACCAGGGGCAGTTGGCGGAGGGCTCAATCATGTTGTCGCCGTTGAAGCCAGAGATGGGGACGAAGGCAACGGTCTTGGGGTTGTAGCCGACCTTCTTGATGAAGTTGGACGTCTCCTTGATGATTTCCTGGAAACGGGCCTCGGACCACTTGGTGGTGTCCATCTTGTTGATGGCGACGATGAGCTGCTTGACGCCCAGGGTGTAGGCAAGCAGAGCGTGCTCACGAGTCTGGCCATCCTTGGAGATACCAGCCTCGAACTCACCAGTGCCAGCAGCGATGATGAGGACAGCGCAATCGGCCTGAGAGGTACCAGTAATCATGTTCTTGATGAAATCACGGTGGCCGGGAGCGTCTGCGACGCCAGGTCAGCAAAGCATTCGAGATGAGGCAGCAATGGCAGCGACATACCGATGACAGTGACATAGTACTTGGGAGTCTCAAACTTCCACAGGGCAATGTCGATGGTGATGCCGCGCTCACGCTCGGCCTTGAGCTTGTCAAGAACCCACGCATACTTGAAAGAACCCTTGCCGAGTTCGGCGGCTTCCTGTAATTCGAATCGGTTTAGCGACGCGTCAAAAGATGAGATTGTGTTTTCTTTTGTTGGTTTAGGGGGAGGTCACTGATGCTATTGGCAGCAGCAGATCGGCGAGAGGTAGCGGGGTAGAGCCCCACCAACCTGAGGGAGAAGGCTGTGAGAAAATTTTGATTGCGCGCGTGGAGGGGTAACAGTGAATGCCCGCCCGGCCAATGGTTTGGGGTAGGAAAAACTCGCGCAGCAGAAGAAACGGATGGGCGAATATTACCTTCTCGAACTTCTCGATGGTTCGCTTATCGATACCACCGCACTTGTAGATCAAGTGGCCGGTCTAAGAAGCTTGTTAGAACATGTCCATCCGAGTACCCCGCGCTGGCGACAAGACAGGCGGGGTAGCACAAGCCGGATGTTGCAGTCGCGGCGGACGAGAGACTCACAGTAGTCGACTTGCCGGAGTCGACGTGGCTGACTCGAGTGTTAGCACGATGGAGGCTGGCCGCAAGGACCGATTGACGACACGTACCCCTAGAACATCAGTTAGCAAGGCACAGCATGTGGAAGGGGGGTGAGGCCATGGAGGGGCAACGCACGATAACGACCACGTTGATGTGAGTCTTGTCGTCCTTACTGCAAGACGGCGTCAGCAATGGTCTGCAGTCGGGAGGGAGAGGCTGCCGTGATGCCTCTGGGAGAGGGCGACATACCCCATCTTGGCGAGGTTTGTAGATGTGAAGATTTCGTGGGGATTGCTTGACTGGAAATTGAGCTGTTGAGCAAAGGCGCGTGTTAGACGATGCTCTCCTTGGGGATGGCGATGGTTGAAGGCGGGAACATACAAAATCGCAGGTCGGATGCTTGAACCGGGTATGCGAGACGAAGAGCAGAAAGGGAGAAAAATTCGCAAAAGCAGTGGTGGGAGGAGGAGATTTAAAGGGTGGGTAGAGAGAGGGGCGAGGTGGCTCATGCTGCTGCCGCACCTCGCGCGGGGCAACCAGAGGAGGGGGGCAATTTGTGCACGCTAGCCCTAACACGCCCGAGGTACTTTGTCGTGTCGTGTGAGGCTCTTTTTCCTCTGCCTGGCCGTGATTTTACCCCACCCCCTCTATTTTCGCATGTCTGTGGGTGGACTAGGGCTACGCGGGCCAATCAGACCGGTGCATTTCGGGCAGGTGTGTGCTGTATCGTGAATGTCGAGTCGCTGCTGCGACGCCCAAACGCATGTCCCGTCCAAGGCAGAGTTGCCCGTCGTCCGCCACACACACAAACTGCTACGATTCATCGCTGCGCTCCATCCCCGAGCACGCGTGTAGGTCCGCCGTCATCGGCAAGGAGCTACAAGCTGTGTTCCTCGCGGCGATATTACTCATCTTGCCCGGATGACTCTTGCGATACCGATGGTGCCCCCAGGCGATACATGCTTTCTGTTAGCCGATACCTTGCGAGGTGGGGTCAAGGCCGGATCCGCGATCGAGCGCAAAAAAATCATCGCTGCGTCTCGAGTTTCGCTTGGGGGGGGGGGGTGGAAAAGACGAGGGCCCGTCATGCCCAACGCGAGCCCAAAGGACAGGGCAATTGCCGCAACGGGTAGCTTGGCCGGTGCCTGGCGATGCTGGGTGGCATTTCTTTATCGTGCGGATATTTGATGGCGTGGAGAACGTGCTCTCCAGCTCAGCGGCTTCCACCGCCCGAGCTGTGGCTGGCTGGCTACCAAACCGTTTGGTGTGGGAGGTCGTCATGGCCCACTCTCCCTCGCCACCACCGCAATGCTGGCTCCAATCGCAGATGCTGTCCCTCTGCGAGCCAGCGGTTTCCGTCAGAAGTCGAAGGTATCGCTTCTGCTGAATGATGCCTATCCATCGCATTGCCGAGCCCTTTGTACATACATAGGCGGACATTCTGGGTCTCGGTTTTCATCAGCCTTCGCAGCACCCGATCCGTCAAAAGGGGGCGGCCGCGCAAACTCTACCACGCTCTTCTGGCCCGGCCCAATGATTCCGGCACGGAGGCTACCGTGTCCCCAAGCCACGGTGGAGTCTGCCTTGTGCGTTGGCGCCCAATTCCGTATTGTAAGTTACGTAGCGAGTGGAAGGTGAGGTCTGATTGATGCTGCTGCTCCCCTCCACCAACGCCTTGGCCTGCGGGAAGGTGGCGACGCAGTTTCGTAGGCGCTGCTTTCGTTGCGGCAGCATCGGGACGGTCAACGGCCGGTCTCTTGGGACCCGTTGGATGTCAATGCTTCTGGTACCATACGAGGCGTCATCAAAGACATGTTGTTGCTGCTTTCTCCGCCGGCCGGCGCTTTCAAACCCACACCTCGGCCTTGAACCGGGGGATGGTACAAGACTCCCTCTGGCCCGCGGACAGTATGCCGTATCCTTATTGCCCAAACATTCGGTTGTCTAAACTGCGGCAAATGGCGCAGTTGAACCTATCGGAACGAGTTTCATCATCGAGTCCCCGAAATGCAGCATCATACCTAGTTGGCAACCCGATGTAGCCCTCACTGGAAGCACATCTCGAGCTCGTGGCATTTACACCGATCCTCCGCTCACTTATCCTCCCACGCAAGGGGCCGGGCTCGTCCCCATCCCTTTCATCGTCGCTGTAGTCTATTCCGTCTCCAGGTCTGCAGTGGATCACGGCCTCCCCGTATGCGGCCAGGCCTGGGTAACCTTGAAATAGCATTGTAGGCCTCAAAGCCCCCAACGCAGCACGACCTCCCGCGCCTCCCTTGTGCAACTGCTCGTTTGGTCGAGTGGTATTGTCGGGCGGCGTGCCGTGGCAGCTGCCAGAGCCCGTATAGAGTAATAGCAACTCGTTGGCCTCCTATCTCGGTCATACCCGGGTGACAGCCAAGGATCTCGGTGCAAATCCGAGTGCGGGTGTTCTTTTTTTTGTCTTTTTCTGCAGCTCTTACTTGATAAACCTGTTGGTTGACTGCGTCCGTATTTAAATACTGACTCTCAACACATCTGTTCAGGACAATGGATAGATTGCTCTCGACGGTGCTTAGCCGCCCGTCGAGCTCTGTGAGACACACACATGGTGCGCTTGTGCTGCTCGTCGCCCTCCTTCATGCCCCCAAGTCAAATCGTACACTCTCCACCCACCCGTGACATTGCCTCCTTGGCTATCTCGCCTTCCCATTCACCTTTGCCGCTTGAGCTGCCTTGGGCGTCTTGAGCCCCATCATGACAGCCACCGCCACCACTGCTATGCCCGTCGCGCCCAGCCGGTACGCGTACTCGCGCCCGGCCCACCAGTACACGCTGGTGAAGAGGACGGGTCCCAGCCCGCGTCCAAGCTGGCCCCAGCTCCGCAGGATGCCCAGCTTGCTGCCGCGCTCGTCCTCGCTCGAGTCGAAGCTGCTCAGCGCGTTGAGGCCCGTCACGACGGTGGCCGACGTCGTGGCCAGGCAGGTGGCGGCCGCGTAGAGCCCGCCTACGGTGTCGATCCGACCGAGCAGGATAAAGGCCGCCAGGCAGGACAAGATGCCGACGCGGATGGACGAGAGCGGGGCCATTCTGCGCGTGACGCCGCCCTGGAGCACCGAGGCCACGAGGCCGATGAAGCCCAGCAACCGGCCGTTCTTGCCCGAGCTGAAACCAAAGAGCTCGTAGGTCATGAAGGACAGGGAGCTTTCCATGCCGGAGAAGAACAAGAGGAAGAAGAAGTTGATGGCGTAGATCAGCGAGGGCGAGTTGGTCTTTTCCACCACCGCCGACGACTGCGCCGGCCGCTTCTTGGCCTCGGACGCCTTGCTGTTGCCATTGCCCTTGGGTGCCTTGGCATCCACCAGCGCAGGCAAGGTCTCGGGGAGGCAAAAATAGAGATACGCCGTCTCGACGACGATGAGGAAGAGGCTGAAGCCCGCGGCAACGGCAAACGGATTGGCCGCGACGGCGGACATGGTGCTGAGCCAAGCGCCAAGAGCGGGGCCAAAGGTAAAGGCGACGCAGAAGCAGGCGCCGATGATGGCCATGGTCGGGCTGCGCGAGGCGTCGTCGGAAATGTCGCTGGCGATTGCCGTCGCGAGCTGGACGTTGCCCTCGGACAGGCCGCCGACGACGCGACTGGCGATGAAGGTGCGGAAATCGACGGCAACGACCCACAGCAGCACCGACACGATGTTGCCGCACATGGAGGCCAGCAGGGTGGTGCGGCGGCCGTAGCGATCCGAGAAGCGGCCGATTATCGGAGAGGCCATGGCTTGGAGGAGACTATTGAGCAGCAGAGGCGGGAAGCGTCAGCATGACGGCGGCGGCCACGAGTCGCGGGAGCTCGGGGAGGCTATTGCGTACGAGAAGAGCGAGCCCATGGCTCCGCCCAGCAAGACAATGTCATGTCGCGAGTCGATGCGCCGGGAAAAGGCAGCTTTGTACCGGTTGAGGCCGCCGAGGACCTGGCGCAGCAAGGTAGGCGGGCTGTCGCCGACAAACGACGGCGCTTCGCGATCGCGGTAGAACTCGAGAAGCTTGGGGAAGAGCGGGAGGATAAAGGTGAAGGATATCTGCGGAGAGACACGTCAGCTACTCAATTCTCTGCCATGACTTAGTTGCGCCTCCGTCTTGACGGAGCAAGCATTGCCGCGCGGCAAAGAGAGCCGGAAAGGAGGGATTACCAGATCCAGGAGGAGGGATATGATGATGACGCGGAGCACCCTCTTGCGCGTGGCCGGGTCGATGGCTGCCATGGCGGTTCGGCGATGCTTTCCTTTCTTTCTCTCGGTTCTCTCGGTTCTCTCGGTTCACTGGCTGCGCAGCTGGGCGGCGGGTCCGTCGTGGGCGCGCGCGCTGTCCGCTGTTGGGCCGGCTGGAGGAAAGGAGGGCGTGGCGCAAGCAAGCAAGCAAGTGATAGCTTCTCCAACACAGTCGATGGGATGAAAGGGGGGGGGGGTAGAGGGAGAGGGGAGAGGGAGAGGTGACGGCGCAAAGGGAGGCAGAGGCTGATGACGGAAGCACAGAGGCCCGGTCCATGGCCATTAGGCATGATGACATGGCCCCGGCGTCCGTCCGGACCCGCTGCGGACCCAACGCCAAGCAGGCCCCTCCCGTCCGTGCCCACTCGCTCATCGGCCGCCGCCGTGGGTTCCCAATCTTTGTCACGGTCTCATCAGTGGGCCCAGTCATTGGCCCGGCAGATGCTCGTCTTGGTGCAAAGTAGAGCAGATAAATCTAACTGCTCGAATGCCGTGTCCGGGTTGGGCGGGCTTCCCAAAGGGAGCAGCCGAAACATTCTTGAAAGAACGGTAGGCGACCAGCCCGATGGACTTGTCGCCCAGCTACGAATACAAAGTACCAAATAAAGGCTACAGCGCCACACGCAAAGATTCCCGTCCGACGACAAGCCCTCCAATCATAGCGGGACGAATCGGCAGACACAGCAGCTATAGCCGCCGTGTCTTGGGCCAGCGTTGATGGAGCTTGGCCAGATAAGCCTCTTCCCTGCATGAGAGCAAACCTCTTCCCACAGGGGTCCACAGACACCCCATTCCTAGCCTCTCCTTCCTGCGTGCCAGACCCATCAAATGCTTCTTGCATGTACAAACTGCCGTGGTCAGCTTCTTTGCGCTCTGTCGCATGCATGCGTGTGTCCCGCCCCCGGATTCTCCCAGCCTCGGCGGCGTTCCCGGCCCTGGCTGCCCAATAGTCGGCGTTGGTCAGCTGGCTTCGAGCACGAATCGGAGCCCCTTGCTGCCCTGCGTCGCCGTGTCAGCGCATTTCCCGCCCATTGGGCTAGGCCTCATCACCGACCTTGTACGGAATGGGCACAAAGTAGTCGGCCGCCATCTGGCAGTCCTTCGGCGTGCTGTGGTAAATCTTCAAGACGCCAACGTCTCCCGGCCGCCGATCGCCGTCCTCGTTGGCCCCGACGGTGCCACCACTCCCCCACCGGCGAAATAGCTTCGCCAGTAACAGGTACAGCTCTGCCTGTGCGAGGGCCATGCCCAGGCAAATGCGCGTGCCGCCTCCGAAAATGTGCAGACGCCTGTCGAGTCCCTCGCCGTCCTTGACCCCGAGCCAGCGCTCCGGGTGGAAGCCCAGCGCATCGGGGAACTCGCTCTCGTTCATGACGGTGTGGAAGGGGCTCATGCTCACTACGGTCCCCGGCGGAAGCCTCCACAGCTTTCCAGACTTTCGATCTTTGCACACCAATGTCTCGTCCGGCGCGATCCTCGGGAGTCTGCCACTGGTTCCAATATTGTGTCGAAAGGCTTCCTTGACCACGGCCCGCAGATACGGAAGATTCTCCAGCTTGGCTAGAGAAACGACCTCGTTGGGGTCTGGGAGGGCGGCAAACAGCTCGTCCCGCAGATTGCGCAGCGTCGACGGTCGGTGCAGGAGGTGAAAGGCCGCCATGGTCAGGGTCCACGCCGACGTCAGGGTCCCGCCCTGGACAAGGATCTGACCCTCTTGCGCTAGTCGCTGCGGTGTCTTTTCCTCGGGCGGAAGCTGTTTCGAGGTGAGCATTTCGTGAAAGATTGTCGGGTGGCTAGCGTCGAGCTGCCACTTGTCCGTGTTTTCGGATGCCTTGATGTCCCGGATTTGATCCAGGATGTCGTTCTTCATCTTGAGGAACCCTCCCCAGCCTGCAGGGGGTAAGCTGGGGGTAAGAGGTCTGCTCCAACAACGGGGTCGATGCCAACGTACCGGGAACCCACCGGCCCGAGAAGGACTCGGGTAGGCTGTTGACAAGAGTAAGGGCCCAATTCATGTGTTTGACGAGCATCCCCATGTGCGTTCCCATGAGCAAGTTGTCAGTCACCTCGGCGCCAAAATCCGGCTTCTCGACTGGCAAGGGGCCGAGTTAGTCTCGTCAACGTTGGATCGTCGGGAGCCGTGACGTACTGAGGTGATCGCATCTCGCAAACGCGTATTCGTTGATGACGTCTAGGGATTTGTTTAAGCAGGTGAACGTAGACTCTTTTTGGTCCTGTCATGGAGCCCAAGAGAAATAGTTTAGGGGGAGATGTTACCATTGGAAAAGGCCGAAAAGGGATACATGATATTCAAGGGCTCCCCTTTGCGGGTGGTTGCGTACTTGACGAGGGCATCGCTAAGAGCATTCACGCGCTCTTCCAAGACTGGCTGGAGGTTTCGGACGCTCTGTGTCGAGAAGAAAGGATTCAAGGCACTGCGTCGCAGCTTGTGATGGTAGTGGCCGAGGGTGGCAAGCGAGCTGTCTGGATCACTCAGTGTTAGACCCTTTCGGATCGACGTCCAGGGGTGGTTGATGGCCCTGAGACGTACGAGGAGAGCCAAACTGCGTCGGGCCGGTCAATTGAGAGATGTCGAGCACGTTTCCCTTGTCCCCAGGGAGCGAGAGGCCATACCTGCTTGGCATAGAACCCCCACTTGTTTCGCGGCCGAGAGGCCCCTCCGTAGAGGTCGGCGTGAAAGTCGGGGTCGAGTACGTGAACTTCCCACGGGTTGATGCGGATCACATCCCCGTACTCTTCGTGGAGCCTGAGCAGCTTGAACGAGTACTGGCCTCCCAGCACAATGTCATAGTAGAACTCGTAGAACTGGGTCAGGGCGGCCAGCTTGGGGCCCGGCACATGGGCGATGGGGCTGAGGTAGAGCCGCTGGACTGCCAGGACAAGGGCGTAGACGAGGCAGACGGCAAAGGCGAGAGCGCCAAGCTGAGCCCAGTTGGAAGAGCCGATGAGGCTCTGGACAGCCATGTTGACCGAGCTTCGCGACAACCGACGCGATGTTGTCAGTAAGGGGCAAGATTGCCCAGGCTTGCAGGTGGAGACGAAGACGATTAATAAATAGCTGCGGCACACATGGCCACCGGCGCGAAGCAAGCCAGGCGGTGAGAGTCGACAGAGAGGCGCAAAGGAGGCACCGGGCGAGATTGTCGGGTGGCATTGAGTCGACGCCGCCGATGCTGCACTGTCTGTACCCCGTCACTCCACAGTGCCAGGGGCTCCCAGGGAGGCTGGGGGGATCCATCACAGAAGCCGCAGACCGAGAGTGCTTGGCGAACACTGTACTGTAGACGATGGCATGCACGCAGAGAGGAGAGGCGTGCCAGATTGATGAACGGCCGGCCCTTGGTATGCGAGCTGGAGCAGATGGGGGGCCTCGTCGGCAGCAGCGGGTATTGGCCGAGGGGCAGGCGTAAAGGGCGGGAGCAGATTGGTGGCGAGCAAGCGAAAGGGGGGAGGATGAAGACGTTGCAGCTCGATCCTACGTTGCCAGGAGCGTACAGTGTGCTTGCGCCAAACACTGTACGTGCCCGTGCCCTCGCATCGCACAGTACAGTCTGGAGTGCCGCGACTTCGTACTGTAATCGACGAAGGCTCCCTCTGCCCACATCACGGTGCAACGCATCGCACTGCAACCGCCATTCACGGCCGCACGACGGGCCTCTGCCTAAATGGGCCTGCTGATTCAGGTCGGCAGGGAGGCCCATCCGACCGGAGGAAAGCCATGGCGTGAACGGCACCTGCAACAGGCCTCGCCCGTCAAGCCCCCAACTGCACGTCCGTTTGCCGGCGACGAGACGAGCCAGTCACCAGCCAAGCCATCTCGGAGCTGAAGCCTTTTCTCCAGCTCGGTCAACGCATCATCTCGAATCGACGGCTGCAGGTGCATACCTAGCCGTGGATGCTTCATCCCGTCACGTCTTTTTATTCGCGGTCCATCCTTGAGGGGCGCCAATTTGATTGTGAATGGGTGTGGACGCCAGCAGCTTCGGTTCAATAGGATCTTCTCCTTTTCGATGCGCAAGGGAATGTCGTGCTCGCTGCCGTGAGCCTGGTCTCAGTTCTGCCCGTCTCAGCCTGACTACCGGGAGTAATTATACCGAATGCACGTCTCATCTAAGTCCGCTTCTCGATGGCCCGCTTGACTGTGCCGGACATTCTCCATCTTCTACGGAGCCATGGACAGCGCATATCTCCCATGCCATGTTTGTACGACGCAGTCAGTGACTGTGTCATTTCGTCACATGCGGCATCGACGGTTGTGATTCTGTCATAGCAGCATCAACGTGGCTCGACCCCTAGCTGGCTGGAGTGGCCCCCATGCAACATGCGGATGCCCCGCGAGACACCGAGCCGTTCTATTGTCTCGTGGGAAGAGTCCTGTGCCGCATTGTGCAGAAACGGGGCCTTCAAGTAACTAATTACAGCATTCGTCTCCGTACATTGTGTACAAACTATAAGGCGTGGTTTCTGCCCTCACCAAGTCTGCACATCACGATCGTGCCACCCCTTGTTTATGGAAGCCCTACGTACGGTATCAGATAACCCCCATCATCCAATGTCCGGGTAGAATATCCGAGCTGTACCAAGGTGGCTCCCTTTCCTTACGCCACAAAATACTTTTCTCAGCTCAGGTAACACGAAGCGCACGTCTGGGGCGGGCCGTTGAACATCACGAATAGGAATCGCATCCGCAAGTCTGAAACTACAACGCACAGGCAACAAGGCCGTCAGCTGTCAGGTCCCGATACTCCGAGGCCCGTCGTGGCCCCGACGACCAAATCCCACGATTTCCCGTCTTCTCAGAGAGACACTCCGGCCCTTGCCAGGCACAGATGGGTGAGTCAAGGCATGGGAAGGCTCCTTTGGGAATCTCACGCTGGCCGAGGCCTCCCCGGCACAGCCTTCCGTTGCCCCCACCCTTCAACATGGAACAGGAAGAGGAAAATCGGAGAGGGTCCAATGGGACCAAGGGCTTTGCAGCGGCGATGACGGGCACCGAGGACGGGTTCTTGGGCGGGCGGGTGGTGTGAATATGCACGTCCACGTATGCAGCACCAGCAGGGTCTCGCTGCCTCGAGTCTTCATCGAGAGTCTGTCTTTGCAGGAGCTGAGGCTGCGTCGCCCACTGACGGTTGCAAGTTATTGGTCCGTCTCTCCATTACATCCGTTGTGTCTCGGTATGCCTGCTACAGGCGTGCCCGAGCGCAGAGCTATCGAACCGCGCCAGCAACACGAGGCACAGTAGCCATTTGGCCGTTCCGGGCTATGCAGGCTCCTGGTGCTGGGCGATCGTCCGACTTTTCGACCTGGACTGCGGCTGCAGCCAAGCAAGTGGCTAAGCTATGCAGCCTGCTCGTTGGACAAGTACAGTAGTGTTTGCCGCAGTACCTCACTCCAGCCGTCTTGTAGTCTTGGCTCGATCGTTTCATTCGATCCTCCGTCCGTTCTTGGTACCAACATTGAACCCAGGCATGCCGGTACGTGTAGGGCTGACTGGTTCTTTTCCAAGCACCCCGTTTCATCTCAAGAGGCCTTTCACCGCAACAAGTGCCGGCTACAGATGATTCCTGATGCATCTCTTCACTTAACCACCATGTCCCCCTACCCTGCAAGTGATCAGGCAAGGCAACGTGAGGCGAGGCGGATACGGGATGTTGCTTGTAGTAACTGACCAGCATGCAAGTACCCTACACGATCAGATACAAAGTATTTAAACTACAAAAAGCGCCTGATGTTGCACAATTGAAGCACGAGAAAGAAGGAAAGAAAGTCGACACAGCCCAATGACAGACATGTTGCTGACGAGCTTGACACCAGCTGAATATAGGCTCGAACTTAAAGGCATCTTTATGTAGTTATGGTTAGTGAGGCTATATTAAATCACCCGTATTCATGAAAACTTGGTGCCCAGGTTGCGATCAATGACCTCTAAGAGCCTAAGGTGTCCTTTGGCTTGACGTCAAGCCTTGACCTGTCTGGACCTTTACTTGAGTAACGAGACATGGTCGTGGTTGTGACTATCTTCGGCTTTGTTGAGACAAGTCGTCCATCGATGAGCTCAAGCAGCAAGACGGAGACTCTTTTGTCTTGGTAAAACGACCGATGGCCAAGGCTCAAGCAGGCCCACATCATACCCAAGCTCGGTGGACTGCGCCAGATAGCCAACGGCTTCGGCTCCTCCACTGTCTCTCCGCGTCTGGGTCCCACTTCGGATGGTCCCCCTTCCCGTCTGGGGGCCGCCCCCAGCAGCGTGGTAGCAGCCAGACAACCTACAGAAGCCCCGGCACTCAGTTCCGAGATGTTGGCTGCTCCCGATCGGACTTGACCCAAGGACGAGAGGGACCTGAGACACAGCACGACTGTGGAGCAATCCCGCGTCTTGTTAGCTCTCGCTTTCCATGTCCTCTTCACGCGATTCTGTGCCAGAAATGAGGGTTCGACGGAAGCAAAAGTATCCGTTGGCGTTGCCGCCTTGGACCATTCTATTACCATTGCTGGTGCTGGTTCTGACCAAGAAGCCCAACCCTCCTCTTCGTGTATCTGACCGATTCTAATATGGGATTTCAACCTCCCCAATGCCAAACTTTTGTCGGATTTTTCCGCTTCTCCTTTTCCCAGTCTATTTTTGGCCGAGTCATTCTCAAACAAAAAGATCAGAAGACGCCGAGGACAATGAAAGAAAATTGTCAATACGACAACAAGCGAGGAGGGCAAGATCTCTTCCATAACGCCAACGCTTCGAGACGTATCAGAGCTGATCGGTCGGCATCATCTTTCAGTCGAGACGGGCAAGTCGCTGCACCAAGACGTCAGCATCCAGGAGCCTCTTTGGTCTGCGAATTGGAGGCTACACCCACCCGTCGAGCTTCCAGTAAGGCCCGGTCCACCCCGTTTCAACCCGTCAGGAAGGCTTGGGCGGCTTGGGAGCGTTGGGCTTCACCACGCCAGTCGTGTCATAGGGGCCGCGAGGCATGGCTGCTGATGCTTTATAACGTGTGGTTTGGCCGCTTGGAGAAGTATCAAGGCCGCAACCTCGGCGGAGTGTTTCTCAACAAGACGTGGGCAGGCGGCGGAGCAGGTCCAGGCTGTCAGATAGAGGCAACGGGTGTGGAGACGGACGAGAGAGGGCGGCGAAAAGCAGGAGCGGCGAGTTATAAGAGGCGCAATTGGGTAACAGGCACAGCGTCGGACAGCCTGACTTTTCTCTCTGGTCGATGAGAGAGCTCAGAGGGACGAAATTCGGAGGACATGTCTGAGATTTTTAAGCCCCGGTCTGCAGTGGGTGAGTCTCGTCCCAAGAGCTGCCTGCTAGGGGCGCACAAGCTCGCATGGCAGTCCTTTTGCTAAGCTCAGTCTAGGTACACTACGGAGTGCGAGTACCGAAGTCGTGATGACCCTTGGCAGTCAGCGAGACCCCTGACGACATGGCATCCTTGACCGACCCCTCCCCCTTGCTCGTTGGCGATTTCCTAGTGCTACACCATATTTCCTACGCAAGCAGCTCAGCTCGAGGCCCGTTGAGGATCCACAGGGGGTCTGTACTGTTTGCTTGTCGACCGTGGAAGGCGAGCCAGAGGTGACAGAGGACGACAGCAGGAGAGGGAGAGAGAGCATATGCGGGCCCGGTGCATGGCCGTGACGGCTCCCCGATGAACCTAATCGTGCCTGTATCTCGCATGCATATACTTGGTACGGACGAATGGATTCCAGCTCCGGCGCGGCGAGTACACATGGACGACGAGCAATGCATGCACTACCGCCATTTGCGAGTACATACATACATGGGAAAACGTGCCCGAGGAACCGTCGCTCCGGTGAGCGGCCGAGGAGAGCCAGTGTCGCGCCCGGGGCACTCGGTATCCAACGCGGTGAGTTGGGGCATGTCCCGGTGTAACCCCCTGAGCTTCTAGAAGTGCACGCCGATGATCCTGCGCCGCCAGGACGGCGGACACGGTGGAGACTGCTCATACCGCCAATGCCAACGGTGACACAAAATCAACCTATGCTCCAGCGGCGGCGGTCCCAGGTGAGCGTGAGGAAACCGGCATGGGGGGGGAGGGGGGAGGGACCCGCGGACATGGGCCTTGTCTGCACCCGGCAACGACACAGCAAGGAGTTTGGGTTTGCGAGAGGAGGAGTTTGCCGCGGCGTATTCGTATACTTGGTACACATCGATACCAGAAGTGCAGATGAATGCTTCGTACAGCATGCTGCAGTCGGCCATATGGGATGATGACGTCCGCGTGGCCCGAGAGCCGACGGATTTCCCAGCCCCTGGAGCGCACACGGGGGCCTGGGATTCCAACGGCCGGCCGGCAGCGTCCGGATCATGGGCTGCTCTGCGAGCCTCATTTCTCGTCGACACAGAGAGCCACATGATGTCGGAGGCACCGCCTCACACAGGCCCGGATGGCGCCTCCCGGGGGCGCGTTGGGGGAGAAGAATCGTCGAGGGAACCGCCGCGGCATGGGGGCCTGTTGGTTCCTTGAAGATGCCTGGTTTGCTGTGCTCCCTCCGACAAGCCAGCAACAGTCCCCCCCGCTAATTATTTTCCATTTATTTATCTCTGTTTGATTGTTTTTGCTTTGTGGGAGGCTGGCTGGCTGGCCGGCCCGCCAGGTAACAACTGGTCGTGACAAGGATGGATGGAGTGAGGCTTGAGCAAAGGAGGAAAGGGGATGGAGGGAGGGAGGGACCCATGGATGCCGATTGCCCGTTTCGTTTCGACAACGAGCGAGCGTCAAACCTTTTTCTTCCTTCTTCGCGATACAAGCAGCTACTAAAGTAGGGCGACCGGGGAATGGGAAACGAGGCCCGGCCGGCGATGGATTGCGGCGCCGCGACTCGTCCGTCGACATTATGCAAGATGCCCCGATCCACACAAGACAGGGGTCAGCAGCCTTTTTTCTTACATGCCATTGGTACCCAAGGCATTTCTTGGCCCAGTTGTCGACGCTTCTTTTCCCCTCGCCGCCCTGCCCCCACGCTTTCTTTTTCCCCTCCTCGTCGCCGTCGTCCTCCTCCGTTCTCCCTCCGTCCTCCCTCCGAAAGGGAGACTGGGACATGCTGCTGCACTACTCCCTGAGCCCTATATCGCCTTTACCTAAGGCACGCTCTGCAGCGCCCGAGTCTTTGGGTTTCAGGCCAGCCTTGGCCTTGGACAGGGGGGGGACGATTGGCGGTGCGGAGAGTGGCCTGTTTCGTATCCGGGTCTGGCATGCAAGTTTATCAGCACGAGCAAACTCTATGACTATTTGTTTCTGCTGAGGAAAATAGAAGCAGTAGTAAATGAAGAGCAAATCCCCCTTCAGCCCCTCCAGTCCCCCCAGAAAAAAACGGACCGGCCGGGAGGGCGGAAACGAGGCCCCCAGTCCCGCGGCGCGAACCGGGACAGCCGCCTTAAATGTCTCCACGGTGCCGCAGCTTCGGTACCCAAAACCCAAGTCCCTGGAACAAACTACGGGAGGGAGTTGCTTTGTACGCAGTGGTGTGTAGATACATGTATGTGAATAAGCAGCGCTCGCATGGCGCAGCTGTTTGACCCCGGGGGTGCCGGGGCGGGCGATAGCATGCACACTTACACAAGCATGATGCTTGATGGAGAAGCAGGGGAAAAAGAAAGAAAAACCGATAATATAAAAAGAAAAGAACTCCTGAGCGGTCGTCTGCGGCGAGGCGGCAAGCGCGGACAATGCAACAAGCGTAACAATGACGATTACCGGCCCGGCCAAGCACACGCCGTTGACGAGTCCCCCTGGCCTCACCGTCGCACAAAAAAGGGCACTTTTTCTTGTTTTTCTCCTCGTCCGCCTCCCAGGTCAGGAGCCTCGGAGCCTCATCACCAATGGTCCTCGATGGTCAGCGTGCCGCACTTGGTCACCAGGAACTCGTCGACGGCCACGTCCTTTCCGCTCTCCTTTCCCCAGCCACTTTCCTTGATGCCGCCAAAGGGGGTCTCGGGGGAGGAGCCGGCGCCCGTGTTCTAACATCGGGGTGTGTGTGTTAGCGAGTCGCACCAAGACTTCTGTGTCCCGTGCAGATTTCAAGCTCTAGGTCTCCTGCCCTCTCCAAATAAGAGGGACAATAAAAAGGAAGAGACTGGAAAGAAGAAAATAGGACGCGACCCAATCAGTCGGGAGAGAGAGGGAGGGGGGGGTAGAAGCAAGCAACGCACCAAAAGAAAGCACCGGTGAGGAGAGAGCAAAAAAGTGAGACGGGGGGGGGGAGAAAAGGAAAAACGGCCATAAGCAGGGGCATAGGATACAGAAAGAAGGAAAAGAAATGACGCACCAGTCCAATCATGCCTGCTTCCAGCTTCTCAAACATCCTCCACAGCCGGTGGACGTCCTTGGTGAAGACATAGCTGGCCAGGCCCATGCTCGTCTTATTCGCCCGCGCCACGACCTCGTCCTCGGTATCAAAGACGGAGACGCCAGCCAGGGGCGCAAAGATCTCCTCGCGACTCATGAGCATGTCGTCGGTGACGCCCGTCAGGATGGTCGGCTCCATGAAATACCCTCCGCCGCCGCCGTCGGACATGCGCTTGCCGGTACCCAGCTCCAGCTTCCCCCCCTTGGACAGCGCGTCCTGGGCCATGGCCTCGGCCTTGTCGAGCCCCCTCGGCGTCGTGACGGGCCCAAAGTCAGTGTCCTCGGCCAGGCTGTAGCCCATCTTGAGCCTCGACGCCTGCTCCACCAGCGCCGCCACCAGCTTGTCGTGCAGGCCTCGCTGCACGTAGATGCGGTTGGCCGAGATGCAGGCCTGGCCGGCGTGCCGCCACTTGAGGGCCATGAGCTGCTCCAACACGCGGGCGAGGTTGGCGTCGTCGAACACGACAAAGGGGCAGTTGCCCCCGAGCTCCAGCGTCGAGCCCTTGAGGTTCTGCGCGCACAGCCCGGCAATGATCTTGCCCACGCGCGTGCTCCCCGTAAACGACACCTTGCGCACAAGCGGGTGCCGGCAGAGCTCCTCGGCGACGGGCGGGGTGCCGTCGAGGCTCGTCGTCAGCACGTTGACGGCGCCGGCGGGGAACCCGGCCCGGACGGCGAGCCGGGCCAGCGACAGCGCCGAGACGGGCGTCTCGGGCGACGGCTTGACCACCATGGTGCATCCGGCCGCCAGCGCGGCGCTCATCTTGCGCAGCGCCAGCACCAGCGGGAAGTTCCACGGCACCAGGGCCGCCACGACGCCGACGGGCTGCTTGATGATGATGGCGCGCCGGCCGCCGACGGCCGACGTGATGGAGCTGCCCTGGATCCTCTCCGCCTCGCCGATGAACCACCACAGGAAGCTGAGGGCGTAGTCGACCTCTTGGTCCGCCTCCCGCAGCGGCTTGCCCGTCTCGGAGGTGAGCACCTTGGCGAGATCCCCTTTCGCCTCGGTAATGAGCTGGTGCCATTGAAAGAGGCTCTTCGAGCGCTGCTTCGGCGTCCACTTGGAGTATGTCTGGAACGCCTCGTGGCTCGACTGTACGGCGCCGTCGACGTCTTGGGCGGCGGCGTCCGAGCACGCCGCCCAGACGTTGCCCGTGCCTGGGTCAACGACGTCGAAGCGTTTGCCGGACTGGGCCGGGACGGACTCGCCGTGCACGAGACAGTCAAACTGCTCGGGCTTGCTGGCTGTCTGCTCGGAGGCGGGACTCATCTTGTCTCTTGGCCTAGTTTTTGTTCTCTTTAGAGGTGTATGAGTTCAGTATCGGACTCGACTGCTTCCTCTCCCTTTCTGACTCGCGCTCTCCAAGTATGCGTGGCGTCGTCTTCTCGAGCTCACACGGTCGCCCTTGCTGCGGAGCTTTCCTTTGAGCTGATGAATGATGCTGTCCGAAATGCCGATCCGAGCATCAGGTGAATATACCTGACAACAGTTAAGCGACGGGAATGTCGCCGGGTTTGCATGGAACCTTGTCGCCGGACAGTCTTATGCGGGTTCTTATTCCAGCACCCTCTCCTCTCCCCCTTTCCCCTCATGCCCCTCAACGCCAGTTCACAATCCCCCCGCACGACTCGGCATAGGCGTACAAATACCACTGTAATTTCATCATCTGCAGCAGGACAACCAATGAGCATGAAGCGTACTTCTCGGCCTTCGGGGTTTGGTACAACCCTGGAGCGGGCAACCCCCCAGCTTCTGCGCCTGGGCTGGGACGGCAACACCTCTCGGCATTACGGCAGCAGAAGCGATTGGCGATGGCGGCCCGACTCCTTGTCTGCTTGTCATTTGAGTTTCCTGAGCCGTGTGAATCCTCTTTGTGAACGGCTGCCCGGGAAAGCTTGACGCCTTGGTAGTTTACCAAGACCACATTGTTCTCGGTGAGGCCTTGATACGTGGGGATCTGGCGGCGAGTTCCAATACTCAAATGAATGAGTCAAGCTAACCTTCATTCTGGCCTTTGACTGTGCAACTTGGAGCTTTACGAAGCTGCCGAGCATCCACACTTGGTGGACTTGGCAGCATATGTTGCCCACCCCAAAGGGTAGTCAAGGGACTCAGCTGATCATGCTGTGCTTCTGGATGATTGCATGGGGCAGCCTGCATTTCATGCTCTGTGTCCTCTCCATACGGCGGCATGTACATATTTGAGCTGGATTTTGGCTTATCTTGATCCTATAAGCTATTAGAGGATTTCTTCGACAAGAGTTCTCCTGGGCGACTTATACACGTGATCGATTATGATTCAGGAGAACACGATGGCTCCGGAGCATGCTACGTCCTCGGGCCCGGCGCCTCGGTCGTTGCATGATGTCCCGTACGACTCCTTGCCAGACAAGTACCGAGTATGGCCGGGCAAGCCCGGCTCCAGGGAAGAAGGCCTCGGACGCCTCGTGCTGCTCACGCCCGAGATCGTCGCCGAAGCAGCCAGGCGTTGCATTCAGACAGGCGTCCGCGTCTCGCTCAACTGGGACCTTACCAAGCTAGACACTGCCAACTTCAGCCGTTCCCCCGCCCAGCACCACATCTTCTCCCTGCTCGGGGGCAAGGCATTTGACGATGTCTACATCTTCAACCCCCAACAGTCGACCCAGTGGGATGGCCTCCGCCACTTCTCGGCACCGTTTCCCACGGAGGAGAACCCGGCACAGCGGTTGTATTACGGTGGGACGACGGCCATGGAGATTACGCACCGCGCCAACCATCGCATTGGCATCCAGCACTGGGCCACGGAGGGCATCTGTGGCAGGGGCGTGCTGCTTGACTACGTCGCATATGCCGAGAAGCACTCCATAACGTACAGCCCTCTGTCACAACACGGGATCCCGCTCCGAGTCTTGAAGCAGATGGCCTGCGACCAGGGAATTGAGTTCCGCCGCGGCGACATCCTCTTCATCCGGACGGGCCTGACGAAGCTATGGGATACCCAAATGACCCCAGCCGACAAGGTGGCCTATTCGCACGACCCCATCCCCCGCCACGCCGGCGTCGAGGGGACCGAGGAAATGTTGCGCTGGCTCTGGGACGAAGGATTCGCGGCCGTGGCGGGAGACTCCATTTCGTTCGAGGTGTACCCGCCGCTGGAGTCGTATCCCAGAGAGGACCAGGACGATGAGCCCGGACTGTTTCTGCACGAGCGTCTCCTCGCCGGCATGGGGGTTCCTATTGGTGAGCTCTTTGACCTCGAGGAGCTCAGCCGCACGTGTCGAGGCCTTGGCCGCTGGGAGTTTTTCGTCACCAGCTCGCCCCTGAACATGCCGGGGGGCGTGAGCAGCCCGCCCAACTGCCTGGCATTGTTTTGAGGCTGCCCAACAGCGATGACGGATGCGTAGCATAACGCAGAGGACTGTGGATTTAGGTACCTTGCTTCAATGATTTCCAGAATACGGCTGCATAGCGAACGTGATCAAGTCTAGTTGTCTCGAGGGTACCCGCTGAGAAACTCAACTCGTCCGAGACAAACGAAGATGGCCTTGTTGCAACTCTTTTTATCTCAGTACATGCAGTAGAAGACTGGACACTGCCATTGCCAGAGTCATCGACCTACAGACGACATGTCGGCTCGGCCACGCGTCAGATTCAAGTTTGTTATCAAGAAAGGTCTCGACGGGGTTGATAGCATGCAATATCAAGGACTGCGGTAATTAAAAGTGTACACATGACGTGAAGTAGCACGGTTGTGCAGGCGCTTGCCATTGAATACTGAAATGTGAGGATGTAATGTTATTCAATGTGACCACCGTCCCGCAGGGAGCCAGGACACTTCCACCTGCGAGGTCAGAGGTCGGCACGGGGTATTATCGGACGTACGAGTGTACAGTTTGTGTCGAAACACAACCGGTAAGGATACGCATACGCGTATATGGGGTCTGGTACGCTCCTCGCTCCTAGCTTTACTGTTGGCGGCAAGGGCCATTCCATGGCATTCCATTGCTGTTGAGCCCTGGGGCCAGAAGAAGCCTTGACCCTGCCTGTGGCGTTGACTGGAGCAAGCACCTTGCATCCGCGAGTAGGCCAGAAGTCGTCAAAGCTAGCGTTTTGTGACATGGTATCTGGCGCGCGGTAGAGGCACGATTCATGATGATCTGATTAAGAACCAGAGACAAACCCTGCAAGTGGAAATCCTCAAGAACAGAAGGACCAGGTATGGGGACTTTGAATGAAATACTTGCTCCCAAGTCCCCATCAAGGCTCAAACACAGCGTCCACCGTCCACCTCGAGATTGACGCCGGTGACCAAGGAGGCCTCGTCACTGGCAAGATAACAGCAGGCATTGGCAACGTCTGCGGGCTCTGAGGGCCGGCCTAGAGGCACAGTCTCGACAAACGGCGCCAAGTTCTCGGCGGTCCCAGGCTTGCCAAGGAACAAGTGCGTCCTGGCATGGTTCGGTCATGTTAGTCACGAAGCATCTCGTGGGTACAGCAGGGAGACAGACATTCCCGTGTTTCCCACGACTGGCGAGACGGCGTTGAAGCGAATTTTCTTGGGCCCGTATTCGACGGCCATGCCCTTGGTTGCGGTGATGAGGGCGCCCTTGGTGGCATTGTACCACGTCAGCCGTGGTCGTGGCCGGACGCCTCCAGTCGAGGCCACTTGGATGAAGCAGCCTGGGCGGTTGTCTTTGAGGAAATAGGGCAAGAGAACGGCCGTCGACATGAACATGGACTTGACATTGACCTTGAAGACCAGATCAAACTCGTCCTCGGTCACGTCCTCGGTTGCCTTATTGGGATATGTGACGCCGGCGTTGTTGACGACGATATCGAGCTGCCCGAATTCGCGCAGGGTATCCGATAGCAGCCGCTCCCAGTCCGACTTGCTGGAGACGTCTGCCGTGACAAACTTGCAGCCCAACTCTTGAGCAGCGGCTTGGCCAGCCTCGTCGGCCATATCCGCGATGACGACCTTGGATCCTTCATGCACAAACTTGGCCGCGATGCCCTTGCCGAAGCCCGAGGCAGCGCCCGTCACAATGGACACCTTGCCTTGGAGACGTCCGTGAGTCATGGTCTCGGCTACAGGTGAGTCGCGAGATGCAGGACTCAGCGGCCGTCCTCTAGTGACACGAGACGTGGAGTGGTTTTTGAAGACCCTGCAAGTAACCGCCCCCTCTTGGACATTGCCGCTCAGCCGTGAGCTGCAGAGCGCCCGTGGCAGTTGCATCGGGTGCGGAGAAGGGAGCATGTGATGGCGGCGATTGGTGGACACTGCATACTGTACAGACGTCGTTTCGGCTTCCCCGCGGCCTTGATGAGAGTGCAGTAGCTCTGGGTGAGAGTTTCGGCAATCAGAACTGTCGTACCGGATGTTGTGAACACTTGAACGTGGAGGAGCGGCGCTCCCACATGGGCTGTGTAGGCCGCTGTGGAACAAGGACGCCCGGTTTGATCCAGTTGGCTAGTTCACGACGGACTCGTGTCACAGTTGTTCGCGCTGCCACGAGGAGTGAGTGATGTGACTGGGTTATGTTGGATGAACCAGACTCATGTGGGCGCTTCCATGTTGACGTGATGGATGATGTCCTACCCTGTACTCCGTACCTACTCCAAGAAAGCTTCAACGGCGAGAGTGAAACCGGTCGTCGCACAGCCATGTAAACGTGTGTAAAAAGTGAGCACAACGGCTCCCCTTGCCTCCCTTGGCCCGGCTCGGTTGGCGGCACTACGGGTAAGCGGATAAGTTAGCGACAAAGGGAGAAGAGGGTGGAAGCCGATTCGATGCACCCACTCTCCCTCCTGTACTCCTGTCCCCGCCCCTTTGCCTCCCGGTATACGGATACCGTAGCGAGCAGGTCATGAAACCCATTCGAAAAGCTGAAACAAGCTGCCAGAGGGCGGCGGATCTCGAAAAGGGAGGCGTCAAAAAGCAAACGCAGTGGAAGTTGCCCAGGGAGACTGATGCAAAGCATTTTACCAGGCGGAAACCTTAGTAATCAATGACAGTGCAAAGACCGCCGTCACACCCGCTGGGCAGGCTTAACATTGTATGTATATACCGTGCGCCACACATCAGCACCTACTGTACGTGGGCAGCATGACTCTAGACAGTAATCAAGTGCTCCTAATTTTTTTGCCTTTTGCTGGCTGGCCCAGAAACATTGCGCCATGCACTTCCAGCCGATCGAGCCCTCTGGCGAGGAAGCCCATCCCTCGGATGCTGCCGATGCCGCTGTGCCCCGCGACACGCCTCTCACCACGGATGCCTCCCTAGATGACGTCTTCGGTTCTGCCTCCCCCGAGCGCCAGGACGCCTCTCATCCCTCGGACATGCGGCGTCTGCAGTCGGAGCACACCACCACCGGGTACCGAGAGGCTATTGCCGTGGCAAAGGCGTCCACCATCCAGGCGGGCTTCGACGAGGGCTTTAGCTTGGGCGCTACCATCGGTCTGAGGGCCGGCCGTCTGCTGGGCATGCTCGAGGGCATCTCGGATGCCGTCGGGGGTCGGCCCGACGACGAGGATGCCGCCGCCGTGGCCAAGCTGTTGGCCGAGGCGCGTGACGAGCTGAGCACAGGCCGCGTATTCGACCCGGCTTACTGGGCCACGGACGGCAATTGGACCTTTGACGTTGAGCCTGCAAGCAACGGCGAAATCCTCTTTACAGACGTGGCTGACGCTCACCCGCTCATCTGCAAATGGAGCAATGTTATCGGCGACCAAATCAAGCTGTGGAGAATAGATGAGGCAATCCTGGGGGCCGACGCCGGTCCGCGATTGGACCCCCTTGTTGACGAAGCGCCCGGCATTGCCGCCCCCTCGACGACGGCCAAGAAGCCGTTGGACTGGTGAATCGACTGCAGCGGGAGGCAACATGTCAACCGCCAATGGAAATCGCCCTCACGGACAGGCCATCTTGTTCCCGCAGACCAATATGCCGTCTGCTTGTGATGGTGGCAGGCTCGCCTGTGCGGTCGGTCCAGTGGAGCCGCCGTCGCCCAAAAGCAAGCTGGACGAGATGGGGCGGGATCCTTGGCCCAGAAAGCCCCACAAATCGGCTCGGGCTCTTCCACGGGAGGAGGCCTGATTGGAAGTTGGGAATACGGGCCATGATCACACGAGAAATCTCCTAGGAACCATCGGAAATGTCAAGTTTGCCGCCAACAGTTGCCTCCTGGCATGCCCAAGGCCCCCATCTCCCTTTGCATCTCAGAATAATGGAGTTTCCATGCAGCATCCCGAACTTGAGCGCTCAACGGCCTTGCCTTGGGCTAAAAGAAAAAAAAGAAAAGGGAGAAGATAGAATGCCATCCGAACACCACATGGCGCTATACCCGAGATCCCTCTTTCTTATTCCCTTCCTTCCCCACCGCTCGCCCACTTTGCCATGCCCAGCCAGGCTGCTTCCTTTTGCGCTGGGGATGCCATCTAAAGAAACGACGGCCTTCTCGAGGGCTCGCGGCGCATAGCCGCCCTGCATACATGACAAGTCGACCACCGCTGGTCTCACGCGGAAATTGTGGCTTGTCCCCTCCCCGCTCGAGCCAGGGTGCTTGGCTAAAACAAGAAATTGGGGGGAGGAAACGAGGCTAGGATCTGGCCATCCCTTTGCCAGGGCATGTTGGCGCAGCCATCACCGAGCAGCAGGCGAACCCAACCACGCTTCCTTGTATCCGAAGACTCCAGGGAGGCTTGAGCACGGAGAGGCTTTGGCAGTGTTGCGCATGACAGCTCAGGTGAATACAGTACTACTCTATACCGAGCACGGGCAACTGCACGGACGACAGCTCGACTTGTATGAACCTCGGGGGCAGCCGGCTCAAGGCGCCAGCCAGAAATCAGCGCATCTTGGACGCAGAGCGTCATAGGTGATGGCGCTAGCGCAGGTCGGCCTCCTTCGATGTTGCCAGCCGCGCATACGGATGCAAGTGTGTGCGCGTACGTGCATGCAGACAATGGCCGGCAGCCCGTGCAGGCCGGCTCCCGGCGGACCCTAACACGACTGCATGAGCATCAGACACAAGGCGGGATGGATGGTCTTGTCCGTCCCATAAACACCCGCCCACTAGTTGGTGGTCCTTCCGCGCGGCCTTCAGAAGCAGGGGAGGGTTTTGAGGAGGCAGGCAGACACATGCAACAGGGCCCAATCACCCGCCCCATCGTGGCTCTGTCTCTCAATTCCCTCCATGAGCCATCCCTTCGCTGAGCCCCCCTAGTGGGAGGGCGGCGGCGAGGGGGGGGGGGGAGGGTTACCTCCTCGGTAATGGGTGGGTTGCTCGGATGAGGTGTTCACGAGGTATTTAACATGACGATGCTCCCCCCAAACAACGACTCCTCTCATCAGCTCAAGCAGATTCTTGGACACCTTCCACCGCCTTCCGCTCATTTCTTCACTCGTTTCAGGGCCTTTGATTGTTCACTACCCGTCCACTCGTTTTATTCCGCAATCACTTCTTTGGGCACTACTCGATTCAGCAACAAGTTCCCCCCAAGTCTAACCGTCAAAATGAAGTCTTCCGTCTTCGCCGCTGCCTCCGTTGCCGCCCTGGTCTCGACCCACGAGGCTCGCTCGCCGCTTGACCTCGGCCTTGACGTCGGCGACCTCGTCAGCGTCGACCTCTGCCTCGGCCTCGACGTCAAGCTGCCCCTTGGCATCAGTATCGAGACCGACGGCTGCCCCAAGCACGGCCCGCCCTCGGACTGCACCAACGTCTGGCACCCCCCCCACGACATCGACATCGATGGCTGCGACAACAACGACGAGTCGGACTGGCACTACGTCCACCCTTGCAAGGGCGACTGCGATCATGCGCGGGGGCCTGCTCACCGCTGGACCACCAGCACCATCACCGAGAAGAGCGTGAGCACCGTCATCGGCTGCCCCCCCGATGTCGCCGACTGCCCGGGCCGCAGCACCGTCCACACCGTCGTCACCATTCCGGCCACGACCACTATCTGCCCGGTCGCCGTCACCGCCACGACCCTGGCTACGGTGCCGGGTCCTGCAGGCCCTGCCACCGTCGTCCAACCCATTGCCACCCAGACCCCCGCTGCCTCGTACCCTCCCGTCTACCAGGGACAGCAGCCCCCGGCCACCTACGTTCCTGCTCCTCACGGCCATCACCAGCCTCCCGTCGACCAGTATCCTTCAGGCCAGCAGCCTCCCGTCGGACACTACTACCCTTCGGGCCAGCAGCCTCCCGTCGGGCACTACTACCCTTCGGGCCAACAGCCTCCCGCTGGCAACTACCCTTCGGGCCAGCAGCCTCCCGTGGGCCAGTACCCTAGCCAGCAGCCCCCGGTCGCACCCTACCCGACCAACGCCCCTAGCGTCGTCCCCGCTCCGGCCGGCTACCCCGCTGCCCCCGTCGGCACCGGCGCTCCTTACAACCCCGGCTACTCCGGCTACCCCGCTAACACGACCTCTCCCGTTGTCGTGGGCGCCGCCTCTGCCAACGGCCAGAAGCTCGGCATGGCTGCCGCCGCCATTGGCCTCGTCGCTGCCCTCTTCCTCTAAGCACCACCTCGAGTTTCAGGCCATTCTGACGACTTGACGGCAAAGGGCGCGGCATAGCAGGCATGTTCCCTCTGTAATTTACTTTTTTTTGACCCGGCCGCGAGGCAGCAGCACGCGGTGGTGGACAGGGGTCGGGGCAGTTGCTGTCTCATCACCGACGTGGCATTGGACATGGAAGCACATAGATGCTGGGTTCTTCTGTATTCAGATTTCTTGCAAATACAATAATACTTTGCTGGTTGCACAATCCAACCAAGGGGAGACATTTTTGCGTCTAGTGCATGTGACTCGGCGTCGCCTGGACAAAGTCCCTGCAGGGCTTAGACCTCCCTGAGCCAGTATCTCGGTTCGATTCCATGTTGGCCCCAGAGAGCAATCTCCCGCCCTTCAACAAGTCCCAACCAGGTGTCTCCGAGGACGCATAGACGCTGAACACGTGCCGGCCATGTCTGTTGGTCGTTGAATGATCTCAAGCACCCTTGAGATCGGGTGTTGCCCCGCAATCGCTCTTGAGGGGGCAACTGGGCTTGGCATTCGGGGGCGTCGAGTAAGCCTCTTGTGAGACGTGGGGAGTGGGTTATGATCGAGAGCCTTGAAGGCTCTCCTCAATTGGCTGTGCCGCAGTTCGCCTTTTCAACCACCGTCTCCGTGTTCTTGCAGCTTCCTCGCAATGTCTTCCATGCGGTCGAACTTGCCAAACAGCTCCTTTGCCATGTCCCAGTCGCGCCCATGCCCTCCGAAGACGGCGAGCTTGAGGATGTTGCCGTCATCGTCCATGACCAGGCGTCCGCTCCTCTCATCGGCCCACGTGAGCTTGATCTGCTTGGCCTCGATGTCCGCAATGCCTACCTCGACGATGGAGTTGGCAGAAACTTGTGCAGGCGTCTTTTCGTGTAGGCCTAGGCGCCTGCGCAGATCGGCCGATACACCGAGCCGGTTGTGGTAGCGCATGATTTCCCTCCTCAGCGCCCTGGCAAACCTGTCCAGATCCTGTCCCGGTTGGTGTTCCTCGTCGCCCTGGACCTTGATGGGCGCGGGGAGATGACGCGCCGCGAGCCCGGCGAGCGGAACGGCGGGGGGGATGGTGTGGCGGTGGACTCGCAGATGGTATTTTGCGTGGGAGAAGGGGCGGTTGAGCATGAGATAGTAGGGCTGGAGGAACTGGCCGCGTGACATGACCTCAAAGCGCAGGCCGAGGACGTGGCCGCCGTCGACGGCGCAGGGGTCCGGGTCATGGACCTTGAAGGCCGTGACGGGCGTGCAGGTGCGGTAGCCGCACTGCTGCATGTAGGCGAGCTGCTGGGCGGAGCGGGCGCCGAGCTTGGAGTGCGTAGGGCGGCGGTGGAGGGCGAGGGTTGAGGATGACGGCGAGGAGGTGGCGGCGGCAGGGACGGTGCTGGATGAGAGGATGGTTGAGCATTGGATTTTGAGGGCCTTGCGGAGGGTGGCGGCTGGGAGGTGAGAGTCAGCGCATGGAGCTTCGTCTGCGTTCTATGTATGTGTTGATGCTTGCTCAAGTACCTTCTGCCTCGAGGTTTGCTATTTCATCATCGAGCGCACTCGCATCGGGGGCGGCGGCCCCGTCGGCGGAAACCATGTGCTGCTGGACTGGGAGGCGGTGTAGTCGTCTTTTGTCGTGCTGATGCGAATATTCTGATGGCAAAGGCGGCGGGTTTGTTGACTTGCGCGTCACCGGCGCGTTGTTTCTCTACTGGGAAGTGCCGAGGGAACTGATAAGATAAGGCGGCTCGGCCCCACCTGCGAGGTACAGCCAGCCCGTGCCCACAGGGACTCGCGTTTCCGCATTCGGGGCGGCCGTCGGCTCCAGGTCCCCTGAGCACAGCACCCCCTGAACGGCCCTGAAGCAGAGCAGCGCATCTTCTGTTGTTCCGGGCTCGGGCGGCCTGTCCGCCTCTGTAACAGGCTCGAGCCGTGAAACCATTCAAACCAGTCCAAGCCACCCCGTCAAGCTTCCTTTTTGCCCTTTTGGTCTCACCGGCGGACGGCCGTAAAGAGGACTCCTATTCTTCCGCTTCTCAGGGGCTCTGTCTTCCCTTTCACCGCGCACTGCGACTCAGTCTTGCCCTTGTTCGCTCGCTTGGCCCTCTTTATTTTTTCCGAGCTTACCACACCCATCCGTTACGGCTCACACAAAGATTCCAAAGGCCACGGTAGCTTCGCCGCCCAACGCCACTACCGCCGCCCCTCGCAACTCTGCCTCCCTACTGTAGCCTGCGACGACGACGCTCCTTCACCTGCGACTAGATCTCACCAGCCCAGTTGTCACACTGTTTGACGTCAAAGGCCTTGTCTTTTTCTCTGCCTTATCGATATCGCCCTGGTCACTCGACACTCGATTCGTCCTGCCCCCCTCCGCCAACGCATTCTGCCTGCATCGAGGCGTTGCGCCCCAAACGACACCTCAGCGCGAGCCCGAAACAGCAGTGGAGTGAAGGAAAAGAGGGGGAATACGAGAAAGCCGACGACCGTTTGTTCCTTGGACCTGCGCCGACGCCCAGCACTCGATCCCGCCGCCCGACTGCGAGCAACCACCTATGGGTGTCCGCGCCAGACGACCCAACTCGCCCGAGTCCAACGGACTGTCTCCTCCTTCCTCGGGAGGGAAGAATGCAAACGGCAACATGAGCGGTGTTGAGATGCGGCGCAAAGCCGCCCACCCCGATGTGGACAACGTTGCGGCAAACTTCATCTCGCGCGAGAGCTTTTCCCTCGACGAACCTGTACCCAGGACGCCCACTGGAAGCAGTCACGGCTTCTTCGACCTCCCTCTGCAGGATCAGAGAAATTTCCTGTTACTCGTCTTGCTATACTTTCTTCAAGGCATTCCCATGGGCCTGGCCATGGGCTCCGTCCCCTTCCTGCTCAAGAACCACATGTCGTACGGAGAAATAGGCACCTTTAGCCTGGCCTCGTACCCCTACTCGCTCAAGCTCTTCTGGAGTCCCTTTGTCGACGCCGTGTGGAGCCCCAAGATCGGACGACGGAAGACGTGGATCGTCCCCATCCAGTTTCTGTCAGGCTTCGGCATGCTCTGGCTGGGGTCGCATGTCGAGGAGATGATGCTGACGACGGGCAAGGCGGGCGGACCGACCGTCTGGGGCTTCATGACGTGGTGGTTCTTCCTCGTCCTCATGTGTGCAACGCAAGACATTGCCGTCGACGGCTGGGCCCTGACGCTCCTGACGCCTGCCAACGTCTCGTTTGCGTCGACGGCGCAGACGGTCGGCCTGACGGCCGGGCATTTCATGTCGTACACCGTCTTCCTCGCCCTCAACGCAAAGGATTTCGCCAACAAGTGGATACGGACCGTGCCCTCGGAGGAGGGCCTCGTCTCTCTCGGCGGCTACCTGACCTTTTGGGGCTGGGCATACATTGTCGTCACCATCGGGCTCGGGCTGATGAAGCGCGAGGAGAGGTCGGAGAACGAGGACGGCGTGTGGGATGTCTACAAGATCATGTGGGGCATCCTGAAGCTCAAGAACGTGCAGACCATCATCATTGTGCACCTGATTGCCAAGATTGGCTTCCAGGCCAACGACGGCGTGACGAACCTCAAGCTGCTGGACAAGGGCTTCGGCAAAGACAACATGGCGCTGACGGTGCTCATCGACTTCCCCTTTGAGATTGGGCTGGGCTACTACGCGGGCATGTGGTCGCAAAGGTACACGCCCATGCGCCTCTGGTGCTGGGGCTTCGTCGGCCGGCTGGGCGCGGCCATGTTGGCGCAGCTGACCGTCGCCGTGTTCCCGAGCAGCGGGGTGACGCTGGGCTACCTGCTGCTCGTCATTGGCGAGCACGTGTTGTCGACGTTTACCAACACGGTCATGTTTGTGGCTGTCTCGGCCTTTCACGCCAAGGTGTCGGACCCGGTCATTGGGGGGACCTACATGACTCTGCTTGCCACGTAAGTTCTCACGCAAGCCCCTGAGAAGATGGGCTGGGGAAGCTGACTGTTCTCGCAGTGTATCAAACCTCGGCGGAACCTTCCCGCGGTACTTTGTGCTCAAGCTCGTCGACACGCTGACGGTCGCCACGTGCCACCCGAGCTCGTCGGCCAGCCCCTCGGGCCTCAAGGGCGCGCTCGTGACCGAGGCCTTTTCGTGCGCGATGCAGGCGGACAAGGAGAGGTGCGAGAGCGGCGGGGGGACGTGCGAGACGGTTCGCGACGGGTACTATGCCGTCAACATGATGTGCGTGGCGTTTGGGACGGCGACATTCCTGTGGTACATTCGGCCCAAGGTGCTGCATCTGCAGAGCCTGCCGCTCCGGGCGTGGAGGCTGTCGCCCGGCAAGTAGGGACGGGACGTTGGTGTAGAATACATACATGCTGTAGAGTTTCTTTGCATATGCGCGATGCGATGTGGGACGCATGGCTGGGTTTGAGGGCGAGTAGAGGCTTGAAGGGATTTGTTGCTGGTTCAATCCAACCGTGAGAAGACGGTCCCTCTTGGTGTGTTTGCTTCCGTTGGCCGAGACGGACCGGCGGCATGGCGCGGGCCGAGTGCGGGCCGGGGGATCTGCGCCGGGGCCCAACAAGCCGAGGAGGTCCCCTTGTTTCAATTGCCTCTAGAACGCTTTCCCCCTCAATGTCCCTCTTTGATTCATTGGTTCAATTCCGCATGCCTTCTTTCACCGTAAGTTTTCATCGCAAGCGACAGTGCGTTGTTGTACAGCGAAATGTGTGCGTTCGGACGACGGGAAACAGCTGCCGGCGAGTCTCTGTTAGTGAGCAAGATAAAACGGGCGCCCCCCCGCCGGGATGGGAGCTGCTTCGTAAACGTGAGCACAGCGTGTATATAAAGCGGCTCTTGGCTCGACGGCAACTGCGTCTCTTTTCATTGGCCTCGGCGCGCTTGGCTTGCGTCTTTCATTGGCACGACCGGTATCTCCTTGCATCGCTGCACCCTCGCTCATCGGGAACTTCCTCCACATATACCTCGACTGCTGGATCTCGCCCACGCCGTCGACGACGTAATACCTAGACATACGTACATTCGTCCACGTACCTGCATTCTACCTGCACTCGGGCTTGATCTAGATGCGCACATAACCCTCCCAACCCTCCGAACCCCCCTCCCCACCCTCGCCATCACCATGCCCTCGTCCGTCGAGGCCGAGGACGCCTACTTTGCCTCGAACCCGCCGCCACGGCAGCTCGAGGAGCACACGGCGCGAGCCAAGGCCTTCATCGACGCGCACGCGGCCGGCGGGCGGCGCGTGGTGCTGGTGACGAGCGGCGGGACGACGGTGCCGCTGGAGAAGCAGACGGTGCGCTTCATCGACAACTTCAGCGCCGGCACGCGCGGCGCCACCAGCGCCGAGTACTTCCTCGCCGCCGGCTACGCCGTCATCTTCCTGCACCGCGAGTTCAGCCTGCTGCCGTACTCGCGCCACTTCTCGCACTCCAAGGACTGCTTCCTCGACTTCCTGCGCGAGGACGGCGATGGCCGCGTGGGCGTGCGCGCCGGCGACGTCGTCAAGGTGCGCTCCGTGCTGCGCGACTATCGCCGCGCCAAGGAGGCTGATTCGTTGCTCATGCTGCCCTTTGTCACCATCGGCGATTACCTGCACGAGCTGCGCGCCGTGTCCAGGCTGATGCGGCCCCTGGGTGCAAACGGCCTGCTCTACCTCGCCGCCGCCGTGTCTGACTTCTTTGTGCCGCCCGAACGCATGGCTGAGCACAAGATTCAGTCCACCGACGTCGTCTCGCAGCTAAAGCGGCGGCAGCAGCAGCAGCAGCAGCAGCAGCAGCAGCAGCAGCAAGACGCCGTGCCCAACGAGGAGCCGGAATCCAAAAAGAGAAGGACGCGCGCCCCGGAACAAGAGAGGGGACAAGAAGATGCCAGCGCCGACAAGATGCAAAACGGACGCCAACCGGAAGAGCAGCAGCGGGAGCGCCAAAAAGACGAGGCGGGCGAGGAAGACGAGGAAACGTTTGACAACTTCGACGCCTCGCCGCGGGTGCCGCGCTCCAAGCGGCTCGTCGTCGACCTCGACCCGGTGCCCAAGTTCCTCAAGAACCTCGTCGACGGGTGGGCGCCGCAGGGCATGATAGTCTCGTACAAGCTGGAGACGGACCCGGCCATCCTGGTGCACAAGGCGCGCGCCTCGCTCGTCCGCTACCAGCACCACCTCGTCATCGGCAACCTGCTGGCCACGCGCAAGTGGGAGGTTGTCTTTGTCAGTCCCGGCCGCGACGACCGCTGGCTGCGCGTGCCGCCGCCGCCGACGGCCGCTGCTGCCGGCCGTGGCCAAGGTGGTGGGGGCTGGGGCGATGCCGAGGGACGCCCGCTCCGGCCTGACGAGCTGCCCAGGGAGGACCCGGAGACGGAGATTGAGGGGCTCATCATCCCCGCCGTGGCTGAGCTGCACGACGCGCACATTGCCGCTGACAGGGACAGGGCTTGACTCGGCTGAGTTTTTGTCGTCGGCGAGAGCAAGAGCCTGAGCAGCGAGGGGGGCGAAAGGGGGAGAGGGCGAAGAGACCTGCCTGACCTTCCGTGTGTATTGTTTTTGTGTATCCTTTATGGCCGTTCGGGACGCTCAGCATCAACTCGACGCGGCCCGTCTCCTCGATGGGGCTGATACTAGAGTCCAAGACGTGACTTATATCGTCGTACTACTTCATTCATAACACAGTCAATGTCTCCCGCTTTGATCCATTTCTATACTTCAGACTACACTGCTTATTCCAGCTAGGCATGCGTGGGCTGCATCGTCAAGACCCAAAGGAAATACATCCAAGAGCCAAGGGAGCCTCCCTCTAAGCCCGCCGCCCATGCTGTTTGTGCAGCACCCTCCATCTCACCACCCCCCTTGTCCAAAAACAAGTGCACTGGCCCGTTGCTAAAACAACATGGAAACAGAGTATCATTACAAAGGGGAAAGGCCACATTCAAACAGGAAGAGATGGCAAGCGCGGAGAAACTGAGCAACGCCCTCCCTTTTGCACCACCCTTCGTCTCTGGCCAGCTCTTGCATCGCAGCCGCTACTGCCACAGAATTCGCGGCACTCAGTACACTGCCATCCAGTTCTTCCAGCCGAGATGCCACACCTTGGCCAGCATCATGCTGGCGGCGGAGCCGACGTAGATGGCGCCCGTCAGGATAATCAGTGTCGTGTAGGAGCCGCCGCTGGCCTGGACAATGCTGCCGCCGATGGGGACGCCGATCAGGCAGGCAAACGAGACGACGGTGTAGCAGGTGGCGTAGTAGCGGCCGTAGTTCTGCGTCTTGCACATGCGGCCGATGCAGACGGGGGCGATGCCGATGCAGGTGCCGCTGCCGAAGCCGAAGATGACGGAAAAGGTGATGATGCCGGCCCGCGTGTGGCCGAGCGGCAGCCAGACGCACAGGCAGGCGACGAGGGAGAGCAGGACGGAGAAGAGGCAGGTGTTGAAGGGCCCGACGACGTCCGAGTAGTAGCCCGGCAAGGCCCGGCCGAGAACGGAGCCGGCGTTCATGATGGGCAGCAGGTGAAAGGCAAACGACTGGCTGAAGCCCTGGTGCATGGCATAGGTCGAGATGAAGGTGAGGGGGATGAAGAGCGAGAACTCGAGGAGGAAGATGGCGACGGTGGTGAGGGTAAAGGGGACCTGGCGGAAAATGCGGAAATCGGGATGGGCCGTGGCGTTTTGGGCGGGCGGCAGGCGTGAGCGCACGAGGAGGATGCCCAGCAGGCCGCAGACGAGGCAAATGAGGGCGAGGACGCGCGTGGCCCAGGCGTAGCCGATGCTGTCGAAGAGCGACGTCAGCATGAGGGGAAAGATGATGCCGCCGATGCCGCCGGCCGTCGATGCCATGCCCGTCGCGAAGCCCCGCCGGCGCCGGAACCAGTGGCCGACGGCGGCGATGCACGGGGTGAAGAGGAGCGAGGTGCCGAAGCCGGCGAGCACGCCGAAGGAGAGGACAAACTGCCATAGCTCTGGGCGCCATACCGGTGCTTGTTAGTCCCAACGACAAGTTACGCGAGACAGACACCGGGTGGAAGCCAACAGGGGGACTGAAATCACCTGTGCAGAAGCTCATGGCCAAGACGCCGGCCGTGGTGCTTGCGCAGCCGGCGACGACGAGCCACCGCGGGCCGTACTTGTCAAAGACGGGCCCGATGTAGACGCCGCCGAAGAAGGCGAGGAAGGTGTAGATGGAGAAGATCCAGCCGACAGTGCCCTCGCTGTGGTCGCGGAGCTGGTGGCTGAGCGTGTAGGCCTGGAAGATGCCGACCGTGTTCATCAGGCCCATGGACGAGATCATGGCGAACCAGCCGCCCAGGACGACGAGCCAGGCCTGCAGCCCGCCCTCGGGGTACGTCTCCTCATACGAGGCCGTGGAGACCCGCGTTGCCCGCTTCTCCAGCGCCGCGCCGTCCTGCTTTTGCTCGAGACGCTGCTGCTGCGATCCGTCGCGGTTGTAGCTGTCGATGCCATCTGCGTCGCTCCCGGCTTCAGAGCCGTGGCCTTGGCCTCGACTGCCTGGACCACCACCCGCCGTGTCGTAGGCCAGACGCTCATCGTGGAGCGCACGCGAGTTGACCTGCTGGGCGTCCATTCTGCTCCGTTGCCGTGGCGTGCTCGGGAGGGGAGAGGTTGGGCGTGATGTTAGCCGGTGGACCACGGGGCCCCGGCGGCGGCGGCGTATGATGCAGTGTCACCAACGAGACAGGCAAAGAAGAGAAAAAGTCAGGCTGCCTTTGCCTTTGTTACTAGTAGGAAAGAGTCGGGACACGGCAGGAATATGTCAAGTAGAAAATCTGGAGCAAAAGGACCCGCCTTCAGCTTCAGGGCATCCCGCACATCGCCAACTCGACGATGCACGAGCAGATCGGCCCTCGGCGCGAAAGCCGCTTTCGGCGCGGAGGGCCTGTCCGCACGCACGACATTGGCCGTTGGGAGGGCAATGTATGTAATGGAAACCCAGCCAATGACCCGCTCTGCCGCCCAACGCATTAGTCAATAGGTTACCAGCCAACCCATCACGCTTGCATGGCCTTGTCCCATGGCACGAGAGGGTTGACATACACATATGCATCGACTCCTTTGGAGCCCCTCCCAAGGCTCATGTCCATCTCCAGTCTCTCTAGGCTTGCCGGCGCCGGCCGGACGCAAACCAGGATGCCGGGTCGCCGGCAGAGCAGCGCTGGGGAAAAAAGCAGCCTCACTTGCCGAACAACTGCTCACCTGAGCTTGGCGCCCTTCGTCGTCCGCAGCTGCCCGGGGGGTGTGCCCGACTCTCCGCTCCTTTAATTGCTAGTTTAACCATGCAAGTCGGTCGTTCTGCTTCGCGACAGCAACCGTGGCTGATCGTTGGGCAGCGATCAGGGCCTTCTTACCGCCCTTTGTTCAGCCCTCGGCTGCGCAAGGTAGACCTGCATGGGGCATTGCGGGCGAGCCGAGGTCCGGGGTGGAGCGAACCGGGCCCACGCCACCTGCGCATGGCCAGCTCCGCATCATCCCTCTTCTTCGTCCTCTTGAGCATCCTCCACCGCGGCCGTTCGAGCGCCTTCCCGAGACTGCTTCTGCTCCCCTGCCGCCGTTGTTTTGAGATAGCCCTCCCGCTCCAGCCTGTCCGCCTCTTCAGGCTCCAATAGTCCTCCTTGGCCCTGTCCCTTGGCCATCTTCATCTGGACGGCTGCAGGCACAAACGCCGACACGGCCTCTTTCCGTAGGTCGCGCATGATTGGCTTTGCTTCGTAGACCGTTTTGTACTCAGTTGCCGGTGTCTCTTTCTTTGCCGGCCTTTCACCATCCACGACTCGGCTAGTGTCGCCTCGACCGTCGTCACCCCGGCGGTCATGCCTGTCCGCAGGCCCCGTGTTCCGTCGTGCTCGTCGCTTGGCGTACCACTGGTCCATGACGTCCTTGGATATCGGCGGAGGGGTATCTCGCGGCATAGGAATGCTGCGTACGTCGTCGGGTACGTCTTCATCGCTGCTGGAAGCATCTTGGGAGCCGCGCCTCCTCTTGCCCAAGACTCCAGGCCTAGAGTCTCCGTCTCTCGCGCGACTAAACGACGGCGCGTTGTCGCCAACAGCCTCCCTCGCCCTTTTGACCGCCTTGAGCTCCTTCTCCAGCCCCGCTAGCACCTGCTCTTCATGGCTCGTGAGCTTGCCGCCCTTGGACGCGATGGCCTTGAGGTCGTCAATCTGCTTTTGAATCCGGTCCGGGTTCTTGCGGGCGAGTCTCTCGTTGCGCTTTTCCTGGACCTCTGCCTTGCCTATGCTTCCCAGTCAGCCACGGGAAAGGGGATTCGGTCGATGCTCGCATACCTTTCTTGATTGCCCGCGCCTTATCGGCCTTGCGCTGGGCCTGAACAGGGTTGAAGTTCCTCTCCTTTGGCATCTTGGAGTATGCGCCCACGAGTGTTGTGTCTCCAAACCAAAGTCCTGGTAAGAGGCGGGCAGCTTGTGGTGGCTGGCAGGTGGGTGCGAGCGAGGTAGGCGCGAGCGAGGTAGGCGCGAAGTGATGGCGCCGTTGATGACTAAGCCTAGGATCCCGTGCTGGCCAGTGTGTAATAATTCAGTCCGAAGGACTGTTATTACGACGATAACTTGACACCATAAGCTCCGCTCTCATTGGTCAGATACGTCCTTGAGTCCCCACTCATCGGGGACTGGTCAGAATATGTCCTGTGTCCCCACTCTGTCCCCGGGCTGAGCCGTTGGGGTGCGCTCGGCTGATGCCGATGCAATAACGCCACCAAATGAGGGTCTCACAGCCTGCCCCTGAGCATCGACTAGCTAGCCAGCTCCTCGAGAGCTTCCAGCACACTTCTGGCTGAATAAGCCCCGTGCTCCTGACACTCATCCTTCTTCACCAAACCTTCCCCTCCAATCCGGCATGCTAATGGCTGATTCTATCCCTTCAACAAAAGTTTGCAGGAACTGCAAGCAGGCGAAGCCGGCAGATCAATTCATTTCGAAGAAAAGTCGTTCCATATCATGTGGACCGCTTACGGTTAACTGTCTCGGCTGTAGGAATCGACATGCCCCAGGCACCTCTAAGCGTACTGCAGAACAAGCTGGGTTATCCCCAATACGTCGACAAGGATTGCCATTATTAGACTTGCAACTGGGCACACCGATTATTTCACAAGAACCTATTCTATTGGGAACACCAATTGCCGCGTCAACAGGAGGAGCGGGCGCGCAGGTGCCGATTCCTTCCCGACCAGGTCCCTCGACTGCTTCTCAAGAAGGCGTACGACTTGGAGCGCCGATCGAATCTCCAGTATCGAGTCCTTCTATATGGCCGAGACATGCCCGGGGAAGATATTTCCGCCCACCTGTCCAGCAGTCGGCCATCGAACGTCGAGATTTCCAGCTTCCGGACCCTGGCTGGATGGGTGATCTGTCCCATTGCCCGTTGTCTGATAGGGATAAGGAGCTCCTGGAGAAATTCTGGACGGAGCTGGAAAACGACCGAATGGAACACTGCGCTCGCTGTCAGGAGACATGGTTTGACATGGGCTTGAAGGATGACATTTGCAAGCGTTGCGTGACCAAGGACAAGAACAAAAAGGAGGATGAGCCTTTGTTTTTTTCAGCCGAAAATCAGTTGGATTTTGGCTCAATCCCTGCGTTCCTCCCCCAATTGACGAAAGTGGAAGAGATGCTAATTGCTCCAGTTCATGTGTTCGTGAACGTCATGCAGGTTCGAGGGCAGCAATACAAATATCGTGGCCATATTGTGCACTTTCTCCGCGATGTTGGCAAGGTGTATCGACAACTTCCCCTTTTACCGCCTGAATTAGATGTTATCTTGCTACGTCCTCCGAATGCGGGTGAACATGCCCACCTTAACCGCCAATTCAGACGCCAGTTCCGCGTGCGCCGTCGTTGTCTTCAGCAGTGGCTGGACTTCCTGTCTCATAACCACCCGGGCTACCGGATATTACTGTCTGCCAGAAGCGGATGTCAGTGCTACCCGAAGATGGCGATGTACTTGATCAGGTTGCTATTGGAAGTCTCCGATCCTCTGGCAGGTAATTTGGGTGACATCGAGAATGACGACATTGAGGCAGATGAGGTTGATCAGTCTGCAGTGCCAGATCTACTACCAGAGGATACAGAGATGGAAGCATTGCACTCGCACGTTCTTGGCGACGAGCACGACGCACCACCCCCTGCACGACCAGCGACACAACATCAGCTTGAAATGCCAGATATTCGGAGAACACCGATAAACGAATTCAACCAGTCACAGGCACTCCTGTCCCTAGCCTTTCCGACACTATTTCCTCGCGGTCAAGCTGATTTCATCGAGCCAAGGTTACGGCCTATCAAATATGCGGACTACATACAGCATGCCCTTCGATGGCATGATGGCAGATTTGCCTGCCATCCCACTTTCCGGTTTGTGGTTTTCAACACGCTGATGCGAGTACAGGCACGAGCGAAAAGCAGCTACTTCGTCAAGCAACACCAACAACGGCAGGGCCTACTAACGCGAGATGATCTACTTGAGGCTTTCCAGAACCCTGAATCTGCAGAAGCCCAGCAGTTGCTCAACTCTATCAACCGCCAGACAGCACAGCTTCGCGGGACGCGCCCGTATTGGTACCGAAAGCGCCGAGAGCTCGAGTCTTACGCCTACAACCTTCGCTGTCCAGGTGCTTTTATTACATTCAGCCCGGCAGACTTACACTGGAGGAGCCTCTATCAGCATTTGCCCCAGTTTCAAGACTGGCAGGAGTTGCCCGAGCAACAACGAATGGGGATGTCTAGCAAACTTCTCCGTGACAACCCACATATTGCAGCCTGGCACTTCCACAGGCGGTTTGGTTTATTCAGAGATATCGTTCTCAAGCAGAAATTCAATGTCACTGATTTTTGGAACAGGTATGAGTGGCAGGGTCGTGGAAGTAGCCATTGCCACGGCCTATACTGGATGGATGGTGCCCCCAGTGTTGACTTGGAAAGGGAGCATGTGCGCAAAGAGTTCGCCCGCGTCTGGAGTTTCCACGTCACAGCATTCAATCCTGAGCCAGCCCGAGTCCAACAGCAAGGAGAGGGTAACCCCTTGGCTGTGAATCCGGTGCAGCATCCCTTGACGTTCCAATGGCTCTCACAAATTCTGAATCGCTGCCAACGCCACCATTGCAGTGAGACATACTGCCTACGAAAGAAGAAGGGTTCAGACGAGATTTCTTGCCGCTTTTTCTTCCCCCGGGATGCGAGAGATACGGCTGACGTTGTTCGACGCCAAGGACACTCCTATTTCTCCTTCGAGGCGGCCAGGAATGATAGCCTTATGAACCACTACAACCGGTGTCTCAGTCTTGGCTGGTTAGCCAACATTGATATCTCCCCCTGCACCAGCCTTCAAGCCGTCATTAATTACGCAGCCAAGTATTGCAGTAAGATGGAGAAGCGGACCGACAGTTATGCAAGCCTGGGGCAGCAAATCTTGCCCTATGTCTCCCACCAGAATCCACTTCTTTCTTTTGCCTCGCGTCTAATGAACAAGCTGCTTGCTGAGAGGGACTTCTCGGGCCAAGAGATCTGCCATGTGTTACTCAACTGCGAGCTCCAGGAAGGTACTCGTGTTGTAAGAGCCGTCGATTGCCGTCCCTACGAGCAACAGGGCCGGTCGCTTCGCCTCCAGGGTGATCATGATGACGACGCTGAGGTCGTTGGGATATATGAGAAGTATCTTTCTCGCCCTGCCCTTCACGAAGAACTCACTTACCTTGACTTCCTAGCCAACTGGAATACAAGCAAGAGGGATGGGAGAAAGTGGACACGTTGGAGTCGTCAAGCTAAGCCTCGAGTGCTATACTACTTTCCGCGGTACAAGTCGAATCCGCAGCATCACCAATACGATGATTTTTGTCGGGTAAAGCTAATGCTTGCTCACCCTCATTGCGATCCCGTCGAACTACGCAAGATCAACGGTGTAGAGTATGACTCGTATGCATCTGCCGCCGAATTCTGTTTTGCGAACCACCAGCACCCTGATGATTACTATGGCACACCTAATGCCGAAGACCGTCGACCGGATCCGGATGAGTTCGAGGAAGAATTTCACGAGCCTGACCTTCTGGAGGAGGACTGGCTTGAGCTTGCCCGCCAGCTTCCCGACTGCCCACCAAGCCAAGAGATGGTAGATCTCCTGGGTAGACGGGATATCGATATCCAATACGATTGGACACCCCACGTCGGTCGCTACGCTGATCCAGGGATCGTTCAGGGCGATTATTGGCGCCAGCGCATTGCGCAGAATCCTCTCTATATGGATGTTGAAGACCTGCCTTCAGAGGCCCGCGATACGCTCAACGCAGAGCAGCGGATAGTTTACGATACAATAGTCGGACACTTCCAATGCGAGAGCGAGGAGCAGATTCTACCCATGTTGACGGTGGTGGCGGGACGGGCAAGTCCTATCTGATCAAAGTCCTATCTTCACATCTTCAGAAGCTTGCCAGGAACCGGCCCAGTCCAATCTGGAGAGCTGCGCCCACTGGGGTTGCAAGCAACCAGATAATGGGGACAACACTACACTCTCTGCTCCGGCTACCTGTTGATAGGGCGTTTACAGAGCTCTCCCCAGCAGATGCTAATGCTCTTCAGAAGAAGCTACGGGACGTTAGGTATCTCGTGATTGATGAGAAAAGCATGCTAGGTCTGCGTCAACTTTCGTGGATCGACAAACGCCTCCGCCAAGTCTTTCCTGCTAGAGCAGCCGAATTCTTTGGCGGCATAAGCATCATCCTCGTTGGTGACTTCTTCCAGCTCCCGCCGATTGCGAACAAACCCCTCTACTTTGATGGACCACTCAAAGACCTGCACGAGGTCTCTGGCCAGATCGCATATAGGGCGTTTAACCACACTGTCTTCTTGCAAAAGGTCCAGCGGCAACAGGGCGACGACCAGGCTAGCTTTCGTCTTGCACTTGACGAATTACGTGGCCTAGAGCTATCCATAGAGTCATGGAAACTTCTGAGCCAGCGTGTGCAGGCCAAGCTAGGCCAGCGAGACGTAGATTCGTTTGATGCTGCTCTTCGTATCTATAGCAAGAAAGCTCGTGTTAGCGAGTACAACTACGAGCATCTCGTCCGTCTCAAGCGTCCAGCAATCCAAGTCATGGCGAAGAACATTGGTAACGGTGCTGACAAGGCAACGTCGGAACAAGCTGGCAACCTGGCTGGCCAGTTTCCGGTATGTATTGGTGCTCGTCTCATGCTAACCCAGAACATCTGGCATCCAACAGGCCTAGTCAATGGGGCCCAAGGGACAGTATATGACATCGGTTGGGCGCCTGGCGCTGATACGCACCGTGACCCGCCATGTGTCATTATGATGGTGATGGATAAGTATACCGGGCCATCGTATCTAACCACGGATGATGGGCGCGAGGTAGTGCCCATACTCCCAGTGAAGCGAGACTTCTTTCTTGGGGCGTCCGCCAGTACCCGAACGCAGTTCCCACTCATGGCATCATATGCCATCACGGTTCATAAGTCACAGAGCATCACAGTTGACAAAATGGTGACCGATCTGTCTGAACGTGACTTCCAGACTGGGCTTAGCTACGTTGCAGTCTCCAGGGTCAAGACATTGAGGGCCTAATGATCGATACGCCTTTTGAACGGGCATCTCTCCACTATGAGAAGCTACCTGATGGCAAGTAGAGCTCCATCATGTTATTCTTGCTTGAGGCTCTATAAGCCCTAACAGATTAGCAGGTGTTCTGATGAAAGTTCGCGACGAGCATCGGCGCAAACAACAACAACTTCGCCAACCACTGTTCCAACCTCGCTTTTCTTGATGACGTCGCTATAGTGCACGGAGAGGGCCAAAGCTCGTCATTGTCATGCACAAACCGCTTCATGGTGCGCCAGCGCATAGCCAGACCCAGAGGTACGAGCATCATGTCATAGAGATACATCCTTCGGACTGTATTACACCCTCCCCACCTCCGGTGAGGGTGTCAGCATATTTTAGGGGCAACCATCGTCCTCCCTCGTTGCCTCTCCGATTAGCTAGCATCCCTGTTTCTCCAACCCTGGCCTCGGCTTACACAGCAGCAGGCTCCATTGGTCCCGAAATGTCAGGTCCAATCGGGTTCCATCAACTTCTCAGTCTTCGACTCTCCTTTCAGTGCAACCACACGCGTCGGAAAGCCACGCCCAATGATCGTGGGCCTTGTCGACGACGGCAGGCGACGGCCAACAATAATCTGGGGCCCAGGCTTTCTGTGGTTGTCGAGGAAACGGGAGGCACCCAATCAGCAAGCTCGTCGATCCGACTGCCTGGTCGAGATTCAACTTGCTGCCCAATGCTTCGTCGACTGCAATACCGCCCAGCCGAGCTCCACGACGGCTTTCTCGCCAAGTATCCCCGAGAGCTTTCCAGTCGTAAGCTTTGGTATAAACATAACTATGGGCGCAAGTCGCTCTTGGATCAATGTTTTCGGTGCTGTGACGCAGTATTTCGCTGGAAAGTTAACATGAAACACCAACAACGATCGAGGCTCAAGGAGCGCATCTAGCAAGATAAGCCCCCCGCTGACTTGTCACCAAGGGACGCGTGAAAACTACACAGCTCCGGCCGAGTTTCTGTTACCTCATCGCAATTGGGAACCCCTGCTCGCCCAGCACTTTGTTACACGTCGCTGTGCCATCGGATGGAGCACGACAGGGTTCTCGATAGCGCGAATAAGCCTTCACTCTCAAGACGTGACAGAGTGTTTGTAGGAGAGTGGCGCCGTCCTGGAGCTTGTAGCAGGGCAGAGCATGATTTTGAGGCTTGAATGCCCACCGGATCTCGGCCCTGGACAAGCTCAAAACAGTAAAATTCTCTGAAAACCGCCGCTTCAATCCTACGCTTGGAATAGGCGCGGTCAGACTCCAGCTCAGGGAGAGGCAAAGAGACTCATATCGCCGGACTCGACCAAGGCTAATCTCACTACCAAACGAAAACTGATTTTCGTCTGAGACGACCTGCTCTACTGTATTCATCCGTGTGACAAGTGTCGATAACGAGCCTCGGGCACCAGACTTGAGAGCAGTGTCGGATGTGATTCAAATCAAACTCTCTCCCTGCTCAACCATGCACGGTGCCAAACACCAGACTCAAGGGAGTGCGAAAAGGGTTGCTCTGCTTCACGCCTCGGCTACAATGCAATTTGCTAGATTCAGCGTTGAAGGGACGCTGAACATCTGAACATTCCCCACGGCTAGCTGTTCACCTGCGTTGAGTTGAATATTGAAGCCCGTCACAAATATTCAGCGAAGCAAACTATAAAAGGCGGCAGCGCTTTCCCTCCTCGTGCCACTGTCTGCCCAGTTCATCAAGGCACCTGCTCGTACGCATCCACCTGGCTTCACCAGTCGCTAAAATTTGTCCTGCGACCTTCAAAAACCGTCCCTGATCGCCAACCGGTCAACTTCCAGTCGAGAAAGAACAGCAAGCCGATAGCAACATAAGCTCGCATCATGTGCAGTGTCGGCATCGTCTCTGCGTTCTGCCCGGGGCATGGCAGGCAATGTGAAGTCCGCCGAGAGAATGAGAAGCTGTGTGACGAGGCTCGGAAGACGCTCAGAATGGGGTCTTGCCAGTATGGCATCGTCGCATATTACAGATACATGGCAACCGCCCATTGCCGTGACTGCTTGGCCCAAATTGAAAAGGGACTAAAGGATAAAAAACGGAAGGACGCTAAGAAAAGCAAGTAGAGCGTCGAGTAGGGCTGGTCTAATGTGCCTTCTGGACGGTAGGCTCTCAGAGCAACCTCGACTCAAAGGCCTGAGCCGAGGGTCAAAGGGACTTGAGCTATAATTCCATCCCGACACTAAGTGCACTGAGTCTTTAAAGTTATATCGCATTGCATGAAGTAGGATGTAAATGCTCGAATATACGTGGTGAAACCTTATGCCTCTAGATAATCCTTAAAGTCTAAAGATTATGCCTTAAGGAATATAGCAACGAAAGGTTTTATTAGTTTCCCTTAGAGATAAAAACGCTGCTATTTACTTCTCTATTATAAATATCGTCTTATAATTAGTTATTAAATCTTATCTTTTATTAGTTAATTATTAATTTAATCTTTTTTCTTCTTACTTATAAAAAAGCTTATTTTATTTATATTATTAAGAGTATTACTAATTATATATATTAATACTACTATCTATATACTTACTTTATTTTTAAGATATATATTAAAGCTAGCCCGCCTTACCTCTTTATATTATATAGGGCTAGTAAGTACTTATACTACCTAAATATATACCTTTACTTATATCTACGCCCGCCTATATATATATATATAATATATAATATATACTTCTTAATTTACTTAAATAATATATTTCTAAGACTTAATCTTAAAGTTATAATAATTAGCTTATTAATTAATCTAGCTCCTCCTCTAGCCCTTATAGCTATATAGGTATTATAGAGTAGACCTAAGAGGGCATAGGCTATAGTCGCGCTACTACCCCCCTCTACTACGTACGACGTATTGCACGCACGCGATAAAAGGTAACGAATTAACTAAGCTGCCCGGCTTATTAATTAACTATACTTATTAACTATCTAGGCAACGCCTAGACTCTTATAATAAGCAGCGGCGGCGGCGCTTACTTAATAATCCCTTTAACGCTAAATAAAGCCGGCTACCTTAATAAAGCTAGCGGCGCGCCCCTCTTACCGCGTCCTCCTTATAATCCCTTTCCCCTTATATTTCCTCGAGCTAATAATCTTTATTTTAACGCTATAAGAGAGCGCGGGCTAGTTATCTATCTTCCTTAGTCCTTAGCTTAACCTATATTTAAGTACTATTTAGCTTAAGTTTAAGCATTACTTAAGTATCGGTTTACTTTAGTTTAACTTTAATATAGTTACTATAATATAACCTTAGCCCTTTATAAGTATAGCCTATAATACTACCCCTACCTTCCCCCTCTTATTAATAGTACTTTTATTCCTCCCTTACTACTTTCCTATTATTACCTTCCCCTTTTTCTTAGACGTATACGGTCGCTTCTTTCTACCTTACGCTTACCTTATCCCTTTATATACCGCCCTTTTATATACCTATTCTACCTTATTCCTCTCTCTTTTATATATATACCCCTATATATTACTAACTATATATATACCTTACTATATATAAATACCCCTCTTTTTTCCCTTCTTTCTTTTCCTTTCTTTTTTCTTTTTTAAGCTTTACTTCTTCCGCGCGTATACCCTTACTTTACTTAATTTTTATTACTACGCTATACTATATTATAACTACTATAAGCCCTTATATACCCGCTAACTTCTTTATTTTATATAGCGGTACCCCGCCTCTTAATATACTAAGTAACTATACTTTACTACCCTTACGCTAATTAACGCGTTTACTTATATCTCTTAATAAGTATAGCGCGACCTATAGTACTATTATATAGCGGCTACTTTTATCGCGAAGCGTAGCTTAATTTCGTAGTTCTTAGAGATATCCCTTAGTAAGAGGGAACTAGGAAGCTAAAAAATAGGTTTTAAGGAAGGAGCTAAAAGGAGGTATAGAAAGGAGGGTAGGGGTAAGAGGGGAAGTAGAAGTAGTAATAGCTTCCTATAGAGGTAGCGAGAGATAAAACGGATATACTAGTAACGGCTAGAAAGGAGGGGAAAACTAGTAAAAAGCTTAGTAGTTAATAGGATATTAGTAGCTTCTTAAAGTAGGATCTTTTTTATTAATTAAGATGCTAGATAGGTATAAAGAGGGGCGTTAGATAAAGGAAAGAAGGATAATTAAGGTAATATAATAATTACCCCCTTACCTTTATTACTGCCCTTATATAAGGGCTTTTACCCTATATAGGCCTAGACTAGGGTCTAGGCTAAGTCTATATATAAGCGGCCTCCGCGCCTATATAGGCTAGGCCCGTACTTCTCTTTCTTTTCCCCCTTATAGATTATTAACCTTCTTCTAATAGACCGCACCTAAGCCTACGCCTCTACCTACTCTATAATAGTATAATCTACCCTTTATTTTACCCTCTCTATATCCCCGTATACGGAATAGCTATTTTTAGCTACCTTTAAAGCTAACGTTTAATTACCTAGTCTAGTTAAACCGCCCGCGCCGGTATATACGCACGCGAAATATCCGTACTCCTATAGTCGCAAAATTAAGGCAAACGTAATACTTAGTTTGCCCGGGTAATTAAGAGCCTCTTATAATAGTAGGGCTCCGCACGACTAAGAGCGGTACTACCGTACCTTAGTAAGTTCGACGGCTCCTCCGTAGAGCTCGAGCCGTAGCTACTTTATATAGAAGTAAAGCTCTATACCGATAGCGCCGTAATAGGG